GCTTCTATAGCGCCTTCGTCTGAGGCAGATTATTAATAATACTTAATTAGTAATATATATACCCTGTTTCCCCAAAAATAAGACATCCCCCGAAAATAAGACCTAGCTTTTTTTCTGGGGATGCTCGTAATATAAGCCCTACCCCAGAAAATAAGTCCTAGTCGCTAAAAGCTAATTTATTAATCTATTTTCAGGGAATATATATATATTGATACTTGCTTTATATATGCACATTGGTGCTTGGAATATGCATTGGTGCTTTGAATACCCCTTGTGAGCAACATAAATTTGATAAAGATTGATATAATCTTCAAACAAATAATATGTATTTTTAGGGGAGCAAGCCAATTTCTGCATTTTGGACTTCATGAAATTTAGCTGGTACTCCTAAACCATGTTATGCAAAACATTTTGTAATTACACTGATTCAACCAATAAAAATATACCATGCAGTCATATGATTCCCAGAAGCAACCCTTCGCGTTTAATTCACACAAATAAAATTTACTATAAATGATATGCAAAAGCCAGACTTGAAAGTAAGATATGGAAATCTCTAAATGTGTCCCTAACGTATCTACTCCAAATAGATTTCATTTGATCCACAGTGACTTTTATAAATACCAGTGACATTTCTTCTTTGATAAGAGTCAGTTCAGTATTGTTCAGGCTCTCAAAAGACTTTATACGCTCATTCCAAGTTCGTCTACTATATCTTATCCAAAACAAATACTCATGGAATTCAACAAAAACAAGTTTTCCTTGCTTTCTGATTCTTCCAATCATGATGACATTTCCAAAGCATTAAGCTATTTCACAGCTGTTCCAGTGTTTTTTTTCTATAATGGCTTATTTTGCATTATTATCTAAACAAGAACAATATTGCAGTACATGTTCTACTGTGTCCTTTCCACTGAACTACTTTCAAACTCTTTTTTAGAATGTGTGCTAAACAAGAATATATGGTAATTGGAGCACACCCAGAACATACATTTCTAAGTAGTGGTGCTGCTGTAAAGACCAAATTATAAACAAATCCTGAATTTGGAACAGCCACACACAAAAGTTTTACATTTTGCATGGCTACTTAATCCTTTAGTGACCAGACTGTTTTTTAATTTTCTTACCATTAAGGACCAGGGCACTTTTTATATTTCTGCGGTGTTTGTGGTTAGCTGTAATTTTCCTCTTGCTCATTTACTGTACCCACACATATTATATTCTGTTTTTCTCACCATTAAACGGTCTTTCTAAAGATACCAGTTTTTTCTTCATATCATATAATTTACTATAAAAACATATATAAAATATGATGAAATGTAAAAAAACACACTTTTTCGAACTTTGACCCCCAATATCTGTTAAGCATCTACAACCGCCAAAAAACACCCATGCTAAATAGTTTTAAAATTTTGTCCTGAGTTTAGAAATACCCAATGTTAACATGCTCTTAGCGTTTTATGGAAAGTTCTAGGGCTATAAGTACAAGTAGCACTTTGCTATTTCCAAACCATTTTTTTCAAAATTAACGCAAGTTATATTGTAACACTAATATATGTTAGGAATCCCTGAATAACCCTTCACATGTATATATTTTTTTAAAGAAGACAACCTAAGGTATTAAACTTGGGGTATTTTGACTCTTTTCATGCAACCATTTTACCACCAATCTATGCCAAATTTTAAAATAATAATAATTGGTGATTTTTTGACACACATAGCATTTTAAGAATACATGTACTGAGAACTTTAAGGGTTACTGCCAAAGAACAGCCCAATATGTGTACAGCAACATCTCCTGAGTACAGTGATACCCCCCATGTATATGTGTGTCATGGATTCTCAGCTCCTGTTATGTATTATTGCCAAAGAACACCACAATATGTGTTCAGCAACATCTCCTGTGTACAGTGATACCCCCCATGTATAGGTGTTTCGGGTTCTCTGGGGGGCTAAAATACCTTATTTGGAGGGTGCGCATTCCAGTTTTCTAACTTGGAATTTTCAGAGCTGGTCATCATGCACCCATGTCCTATTTGGGACCCTAGGGTATTTCAAATGGTGGTATTTTGGCACTTTCCATGCACTAATTCTACCACCGGTCTTTGTCAACCTTTTGGGTAGTCCTTTTTTGTGCTATTTTTCACACTCATTGTACTTTAGGCATGGATCCTCAGCTCCTGTTATGTATTACTGCCAAAGAACACCACAATGTGTGTTCAGCAACATCTCCTGAGTACAACAGTGCCCCCAATGTACAGGTTTTATGGGCTTTTGCAAACTTACAGAGGTCAAATGTAGGGCTTTCCCCTTTTTCATGTTTGCACATTGAAATTTCCCAGATTGGTTTGCTGTGCCTATGTTGCCTTTGAGACCGTATAGCAGCCCAGGAATGAACATTAACCCCATCATGGCATACCATTTGTAAAACTAAATAACCCATGGTATTCAAAATGGGGTATTTCCGGTCTTTTGTAGTAGCCACTTACACTTGTTTTTTGCATTTTTTTACACAAAAACTGCACTTTTACTGGTAATTTCATCGTCGTGATAAGTTTTTCTGTTGTAAACACTCATATTTGTGTTCAGCGAAGTCTCCTGAAAATAACAATACCTCCTATGTACAGGTTTTATGGTGGTTTGAAAAGGTACAGGGTCAATATAGGGCTTCCACAATTCAGTTTGACAGATTGGTTTGCTGGGTCTGTGTTGCCTTTTGAGACCATATGGTAGCCAAGGAATGTAAAATAACCCCATCATGGTATACCATTTTCAAATGTAGATAACCCAGGGCATTCCGAATGAGGTATTTCCAGTCTTTTGTGGAAGCCACTTAGTCACAAACGCTGGCCAAAGTTACACCTCTAGTCACAACTCCCTTCATGTGACTTATACAGCCTTCCGAAACACTTGCTGTAAATCTAATGTTTATACTTACCTTCATTGCAAATTCTGTTTAATTTAGAATTTCTCATCTCCTGCTCTGTAGGGCCTCCATACTGCCTCCTGTATGTAATTAAAGTTCAATTTAGAGAGCAGGAGCTACAAACTCTTGAAGTAAGTTACAGCTGATTGAAGATGCCACCATTTATTTTTTTCATGCAGGCCGTGTTAGTCACAGGCAGGGAAGTGTGGCTGCTTAAACAAAAGCAAAAGGGATTTAGCTCCTAAATGGCAGAGAATTGAGCAGTGATACCCCAGCAGCATAATCTCTACACAAAAACTGCGTTGTTAAGCTAAAGTTGTTTTGGTGACTATAGTGTCCCTTTAAAGGTAAAAAAGAGTATTGAAAACTGATTTATATTTTGTTGAATGATTTACCACATTTTGTTTTATCTGATTTAGTTTTATCTTACACAGTGCCATGAAGAATATGTCAAGTGAAAGTTTTTTTTTTGTATGACTTTTACAATTGTTGAATATGGAAAATGTGTTTATTACTTTTCATTGCTTCATGATAATAAGAGTTTTACTAAATGTATTGCTGTTGCTATAGAGATCCCTTTCCACACAAGGGCACCTCCATGATCTTATTCCAGAAAACTCTTGTTTATTATAAGTTTACAGAATCTGCAAATCAGATGCCAGGGGCAGTTCTGCTCATCGGAGCTGGTGATTGGTACTGCTGACTAAGCTGATAGCGCCTAATTACAGTATATATACACAACCATTAGTGAGCCAGATGACAAGGAACATGCAGCATGAAAATGTAATTTTTTGTTGTAAATTGAAGAAGCAAAGTTTTTTTCAATGATCATTGCAAAGGCCCTGCATAAATGGCTACATGTAATTATTTGGGGATTACTTAGTGGCATTAGTAACGTACAAATTGCTTAGAAATCACAGTAGACTAATCACAGTAGTCTCAAGGCTTTCATCCGTACATACTGTTCTGACTTAACTTTTGTTCTGACGTCTTTGAAGAAACACATTTAATACACTTGTTCCATTTAATAAAATATGTGAGCAATGTACAAAGCACAGCCTACCTTTGACAGGTGTTATAGAATGTAATCATTATATGTATACTTCTACATCATCCAGATGGGGATACAGGTTTCTGGCACAAATCAGTCAATTAACAGCAATTAAAACAAATACCCTGTATAAACTCAATCTAGCACATACAGTTACAAATAAGTATATTCTAGAGATATATTGTTTCTTCATAAGGAATTGCACATTTAAAGGGGCACTGTAGGCACCCAGACCACTTCAGCCTATTGAAGTAATGCTATCCTATGGGGAATAATGCTTTCCTATGGGGAGTTCCTGATGCACATTAGGTCACACCCACCGGCGAATGTTGGTGGGGGTGGAGCGTGGACGGAGCTGAACCAGTGCTGAGGGACATCGGTGCTGGACCCAGGTAAGTGACAGAATGGGTTATTAAACCTTTCTGCACCAACAAGTTTTTTTCCTGGCATTATAGTTTCACTTTAAGCAGAACTAACGTAATATCAGAACGAGACACACTTTAAAACAAAAGATTCAATGTTATGCATTTATTTTTAATAAGCACAAGAGACACCATCTCTATTTAATTTTTTTTTTAAATTACGGGAAACTCTGTGTTACATATAACAATATAATTAATGTGCTGTGTGGGCAGTGATATATATACACTTACACAATACTATATTTTAAGTCAAATGTTTTACTGAAAAAAACATGCTGATAACATTTCTGCATCATAATTCTCCTTTAAAGAAACACTATAGTGTCAGGAATACAAACGTGTATTGCAGACGCCAGTGTTAAAAACCCTATTTAGGTGGGGGCGGAGCCTGACTATCATGGCGACTGGATGTGTCTTCTGAGCGCTCCTTGAGACACTAAGCAAAACTCAATTTTAGGCTAATAAAGCTGTAATTATGCAACTTGCTACATAATCTTGGCTACACAAGCCGACTGACCATCCTGAGAGTGCACCCAGCAGTCTTCTAAGCTGATCCAGAGGCCGAGTACCAGTGCGGCCTGGCAGGCGGCGTGGAGGGGAGATGCGGCCGACCTCCCAGCCCATCACGGGCGAGGCTCCAACTAAGTACTTGATACCCCACTATACCCCACCTTTGGACCGGGGGGGTGATATCAGTCCCCACCCTTACAGCTACCATGTCCCATCAGAGAGCTGCAGTTGTGTGGTTAGTGCCTGCAAGCCCATCGGAGATACATCCAAAATGGCAGACGCCACGAGTACAACTATTCTAGGTGGTGAAGTACTCCTGATTCTTCAGCGCTTAGAGGCCCTCTTCAACGATTTTTGGAGCACACTGCAACACCGGCAGACCCTTCCTGAGATTGTGGAAGCTCCAGAGATGACCCGCCAAGCCCCGAGCCATCCTGCTGCTTCTGCCAGAGGTCTCACATGCCGGAGGTGGAGGAGGCCATGTCGGCGCATCTTGAGGAGGGCGAAATGCCGGCTAGCCCCGCAACCACTAACCTCCAGAATCTGCATGAAAGTCTACCAGGGGTATGGAGAGGTAGAGGGAAGGCAACTGCAGGCGCACAAACTCCTGCTGACATCTCTGGCTCTGAGCCTGAAGACCCAGGCAACATGGGACTCTGATCTCCCTGCAATGGGGATAGGTTGAGAGTGTCTGGCTACATGATACCTCCCAAGCTATTGCCTCTTAGTGTAAAATGCATTGTTTAATTCACCTATATTTGTAGACTCTACCCTATAAGCTCTGTAGACATACTTCAGATGGCAACACATTTTTTTTTCTCTTGTACTATCTAAGTAGGATGTTTCTACTGTGTCACTAGAGCTGTATAGGGTGGTGTATTCTGTTCTTCGTTTAATCCAGTTATCAAGCCTGTTTCTCTTTGCTAAAAAAACAAAACCTATTGTGCAGATTTACAGCTTAATTCTCTCATAAAAACATATCTCTTGTATGTTTTTTTTAGTGCAACATTTTTGACTGTACTGCTGTCTTGTAATATCACTGCGCAACAAAAATAAAGAATTTAAATAAAACAACAACATAACACTATTTAGCTGCCCCCGTTAAACTATATATATATAAAAAAAATACCTTTATTCCAATGCCATGCGGGTCCTTCGCGGCTTGCTCCACCCACTCCTCCCCTTTGGTTGACATCATCAAAATTGACAATCTCAGCCAATCCAATGCTTTTCCAATGGGGTTTCATGAAATTATCTGCTTATATCAGTTTAATGTTTGCATGTAAATAGGTTTTTAGTAAACTTTAGTATGGTGTACAATACAGTACGCAGTAACTCAGGCCTTGGTAACATCCAGACTGGATAATCCATGTTTTGGCTGAGGTGTGAACTGCCATAATTTGTAATAAACAGTAATAAATTGCTGTTTTCTCAGGCAAATCCATGAATGCTCAAACCATTTTACATGCAAAAAAAACCCACAAACAACTATCTCATGCCATGATAGAGAGAAAAGTTAATTTGCCCCCTACCACAGTCTTACTCTCTCTTGACAACTTAATCCGGCACAACTCACTCTCTGCTCATAGCTCTGTGTTCTCAATTAGCATGGGGACTGGGTGAGACCATTTTAGCATCTCTATTCAACAATTCACCCTATGCAAGAACATGGAGCAACTATTTGAATGCAGATCTTGCTTATGGAGCAGAGCTGCTTGGCAGTGCATAGAACTGTCACTTGCTGATTGATATCTGTTTTTTAACCATGTTCATGATAACAAACCGTAAATAATACTACTGCATGTTTTCATATTCAGCAGATTTTAATTAAGTCCCTGGTTTTAAAGTTATCTTTTTGGTTAATTTAAATAAGAAAACTCATAAATTTTTTGAACTGGATTTGCCACCGGTCTTGATTGATCTCATGATTTGCTGGCAGAATCTCTGAGCATTTTGTTTCATGTGAACTAGGTCAAAAGCAGCTTTAGCAGGGAATTGTGAATATTTCAGCCGTCTAAGAATGATTTAACCATGACGAATATCTTCTAGTCTCCTAGTATCCTAGGATAAAACTTAGTAGGTCAAAGAAGAGACACTGGTGGTTCTGGGATTTTTGATTTTTGAGTGCCCTACAGCATACAGACCTAAAATAATATAGGTTTTTGGTTTTTTAGCATTTATTTTTTATTTTATATTTTTGCAGTGCATAAGAGTAGTACAGACAGGCCCGAGGTACCCCAATGGCAATCCTCAGGATTAGCATAGTCTTAGATAAGGCATGCACAATTTTTTATATTATGAGCAAGAGATACCAAGGGTAGAAAGATTTCTAGTTAGGTCTATCCAGCTGAAAATCATGATACAGGCTAATTGCAAACGTATAAAGGTGAATTGTTTGGCTAGGAGACATGCTAGGTTAGGTAATATACACAAAGAGCATAAAATAATAATATACTGTGCTAGTTATAAACAAGCTAGACTCACATGAAAAGTAGTAGTCATATCGATTGCTAAACAATAGGGCAACACACAGGCATATAACATATAGGAACTGATGAGTCAGTTAAGAGTAGAGTAACATGCTGTGGTTTATTTGATAACAAATGTAAGTGAGTTGGGTAGTTAGGACTCAGGAGACCTATCATTAGGCATTACAGGTGGTGTGTTATTCATGCTTGATTCAGGCTAGCGGGCAGGCTATAGGAATAGGATTTTAATCTGTTGTAAATCACATGTAATCTGAGCAATTACTAGTATTATCTAGTGATAAAGCAAGAGAATCACGAGTACTTATAAATGCGTCTGACTACCGACTGTATGGTTAGGCTATCCACCTTCAGGTGTTCAGTAACAGAACTTGTCCCCTACTCAGTCCTCATTACACAGTCGATGCCGGCTCTGAAGGCTTGACAGGTGCGCTGGGAATAAGGGAAGGGAGGACTTCTAAGCTGGGTTCCGTCTCCATTGAGCCGTGGGGGTGTTCTCCGCCTGTGTAGCATTTATTAATTAAGAGAAATCGATTAAATTAAATTAATTTTTTGAAGCAGAATATGTTTGTTTAAATAAGTAATCACATTTTATCTAAATTGATTCAGCATGTTCAGCACTTCTGCTCTCTGTTGCCCAAACAGAGTTTCATAATATTGGTTCCCCAGAATCCCCAGAGTTGTAAGCTTCCATCATCTCATCACTTGCCACTAAGAAATATAACTAGATTTTATACTCCGTATGGTCCACAAACAAGCTCTAATAAAATTGATGAAAAGTTTCAGGAAGAAAGTAGAAACAATAATGCAATCTGCTGCACTATGGCTGAGTTTGGAAAGTAACTGGCCTACATTTTCTGTGGACATCTTTTGGCCAGTAAATATTTCAAAGCATTCCCTTACCAAGTTTTAGTATCCTGTTTTGGAATACATCCTGGTACAAATATGTGCAATCCCCAATAATAAAGCATGAGGGTGCAGTTTCATGCCCCCCACCCCCTGGTGTTATACCAGCCCCATCACGGTAGCTGCCAAGTCACTAGTTTTATGTACATTATTTAGTACACATGCCCATGCGGCATGTCATAGTTTATCAAAATGACCAGCATTTATTTATTTGTAATTTTACTGTGGTGGCCAGTATTTTTAAGTTACTGAGGTATTGGGTTTCGTTGAATTACTTTTCACAAGCAAATTTCAAACGGCCACCGTGCTGAGCATTGGATGTCTCAAACAAATTTTCTAATTTAATACATTTTGTTTAAAATAACTAAACTATTGGTCCATGCACAAGTTTAAACTACAATCCTTTTTACAACAAATAAAACTGTAAAACGGTAGGTGTATAGGCGCTTCACAATTCACTTGTAAGGTTGGTATGTGCTTTTTATTTGTTTCCCCAGTCACCTTAAAGTGCAAATAAATAGCAAATCAACTATAGTTGATAAAACAACTAATCACATATCACACCCAGTGTAAGATACAAGTTGTATACTTAACAATATGCTTAATGCTGAATATCTATACGCAGAAGGTAAAAACTTAATCGTAGCAGCCAGCATTGGCACCCTGAAGCTGTCTATACAAAGCCTGATTCCTACTTGCTGTGTTTTTACCATCTGAGTTTGGATATCCAGTATTAAGCATATTGTGAAGTATACAACTTGTATCTAACACTGGGTGTGATATGTGATTGGTCGTTTTATTAACAATAATTGTTTTTGCTATTTATTTATTTTCAATCCTTTTTAGACTGTATTACCATTATTTTGCACCCTCCCATACCAGCTTTTCACCAGGAGTTCCACAAGCATTCTCTCTAGGACCCTACAACCATAATGATTACTGGATTAGAGCACAATCTCATGTCACATATATTATCATAACCCCTACGTTTTCAATGTTTTTTTGATTCTCCCCTATAAATTAATCAGTAGTGGTTACGATGCCAAGATTACACTGGGGATTTTGCAATGACTTATCTTCTTACCTGGGTCCCTGTTGGGCATCAAGCCTCCTGGAATTGCCAGGGATGTGCATCCAGACGTGGGCGTCCGCAGGAATTTTTCTGGGGGCACAATTGTAATGACATCCATGCTTGGCCCTTTTAAGACAGTGTCATGAAGGGGAGGAGCATAGTCATTATCACATAAAGCCAGGGTGAATAGCGTTTTCACAACTATGGTGTCAGGAATACATGCTTGTTTTCCTGACTCTATAGTGTTCCTTTAATCAAATTAAAGGAACAATCTGGTCATCATAACAATTCATCATAACAAGCCTATCTACCATGCTCCCTCGCGGTTCCTGTGCTGGGAATTGTGGGAACTGCGAGGGAGCATGGTAGACAGGCTCCTCCTCCTTCAACCACCAGTGACTGGAGTGCCACCGGACCAGCGAAGCTGCCACCCGGCCCGGCGGCTCCAGTCTGGAACGCGGCCAACCCCCTCTCAGTGTGCCACCTATGTGGCAGCGCAGCCCCCAGGTGCCACGGCCCACCGGGAAATTTCCCGGTATCCCGGTGGGCCAGTACGGCCCTGACTGATACACTAACATTACTTCAACCTAATTTAATATAATTACAAAGCCTTTGAAATTGAACTTTTGTTTATCATTAAATTGTATCATCTGCATATTGACCATAAGATCATGTAATTAATGACAATTAAAAAAGTTAAGCCCTGTTTTAAGCTAATAATGGTTCAGACATATTTAAAATGTGGTTGCATTAAACACTCACTAGATAAGGGCTTGATGTCAGAAAACTTCAAACAAAAACAAAAGTGATATTTTGATTAAGTTTTATATGATTAATTGGAAAACTTGAATGTTAGAACTGTCTTTGCATTAACGTTTCTTCCTAACTGTTTTAGATTATGACACTCAGTGGCGTATCTTGGATTTGTGCTGCTCTAGGCAGAACTAAACTCGGGCACCCCTAATCTAATCCCACCCCCTTCCTATTTAAGACCAACACACTTTGACAGACACACGTCCTCACGGACACATGCACTGACATTCTGACACTCACTAACTGATACACGGGGGGGAGGGAGGGAAGGGGGAAAACAAAAGGCTAGTAAGGCATTTGCTGGGGCATTTGGGGGGAGCTGCGTTTTTTTTTGCCGCCCCCCTGGAAAGTGCCGCCCATGGCAAATGCCTTGCTAGCCTAGCGATAAATACATTGCTGATGACACTTCCCCCATTTGAAGAGGAAAATAATAGTTTTATTCACCATTCTTCCAACACCAAGCCACTAGCCGCCTTTCTGTCCCTCACTGATGATGACCTCAGATCATTGTCATGCATCTCTCTTGGGAACATAACATAAATATGCTAAATATCAGTCCTGCAAGATTGCAGGACTATAATAGGAACTGCCTCTAGTGGCTGTCTGAGCTTATCTGCTCTTTATTTGTGTCTCTCCCTACTACTCATTTCCCTGAACATATGCCCTTTTCACAATTCACCATGTGTCTCTCCACCAGCTTCCAATTTTACAGTTGCAGTCCTCCCAAAAGCAACATAAATAGAAGTCATCTACTTTCTGTGTCAGGCTCCTGCTCACCTCATTGCTATTCACAGATGTATCTGGTGGAGGTGGTGCTGGAGGGAAACTTACAGGATATAGGTTTAATAAAACACATACCCTATGCTAATGTCTCGTTTTCATCTTTCATGTACATCCATACCCCCTAACAGCGGTGGGCGGGGTACCACTGACGTGAATCTTGTAACCAGAACTGCCAAAGGGGCAAACATGCCCCAAAAAATCTGCCCGAGGAATTAGGTCAGCCTGGCATGAATGCAGGTCAGGCTGCCTGCCAATCATGCAGTCTGGCCAACTACGGGAATACTATGCAGACAGCACCCTGAGCTTGGCATAAATGCATCTAATGATGTGCTCGCTCCGTGCTTTCTAAGGACTGCCCCCTAGCACTCACTTGTCCACTCCTCTCCTTACCTTCTTACTAGCAGGGAGAAACTCCTGGTATATAGTCTGGGACAGAAAAAAAGTGTATGTAGTGGGTGTAGAAGAAAATGAACATGCCACAGAGTTAGAGAGACTGAAGCAGCAAGAGCTTTACATTAACTAATTTCATTGTCAGCCAGTCCGCACACATTTTGTTTCCATACATCCACATGTAGAGTAGTAAAAAATATATATATATATATATTTTTTTTTTAGCAATGGGCCTCTTCTATGGGCATGAGCCTGGAGCTGTAGCTCCATCAGCCCCTATGTTAATCCGACCCTGGATGGCCCATTGATCCTGTAATGCAAACCCACAGAATAGATTGCCTGTGCAAAATGTCCCTGGGACGGGCACTGTTACTCTTTGCTTTACCAGTGGATTTCTCTGTGTCTCAGCCTGCAGATGAATTTTCTATGCTTAAAATGACTAACTTATAAAGTTGCATGTGGATAGTTTTATGTATGGAAGCAAGGTTTAGTTGCAGAGGCCATGCACATGCACAAGAGATTAGATATGTAAATTCAAATGTCATAATTTGGCACATGTAGCCCTAGAATAGGGCTTTTTAATTCTTCCCCCATATCTGCAAATCACTTTTATACTAACACAATAGATCAAATATTTAAAGAATTACGTTTAAAATTACTATCTACAACCATTTTAAATGAATATTTGACCATTTTACAGGACACACTCGAAAGCCTTGAAAATCTAATTTACACATTTTTCATTTTTGCCAGCAATGGTGGCTATCAGTTAGGTAAATTGCATCACCTCCTCCCTATCTAATACAAGATAATGGAAGAATATGACCTCAGTAATTCAGGTTCATATTGTGAATGGAAAATTGCACTTAACCACTGACTACATAGTCAGCATTTTAAAATCACAACAAAACACTTTTTTGGAAAATTTAAAGCAATAAGGTCAAATGTTCACATAACTGTAGGCACTGCCGTTACTGCCACATTTTTCATGGAAAGCCACATTTACTTTGTGGAACTGCAACCACACTATAAAACAAGAACATGCAATAAAATGTGAAATCCTAATATTAAAAAAGGGTGTGTTCTTCAGGAACATGTACAGCATCTTGCCAGTATTTTCTAGCTGACAGTACATTATTAAAGCTTAAGTAATAATATAGAAGTACACCATTTCAAGGAATGCGAGAGCTAGCTACAGTTTATTATTTCTGGTAGTGTGTCAGGAAGCCAATATCTTTATTAAATCCCAGCCTTTGTACGTAAAAGGAACTGGAATACATTCAAATGGCTTATGCTTTTCAGTGTGGTTTCAGATCATTAACTATGGCTCATTTTTAAGGAAAAAAAGTTACAAGAAATCTATCAAAATTCCATCTGGATAATTTCTCCTTCATTGAGATACAAAAATTGTAATCCATTCCATTCTACATCTGGAAGTAATGAGGACACTGAACTTAAGACCAAATAAGGAGTTTGTGAGAAGAACCATGTACCACAGGGGACCATATCTAAAATCTTCGTCCGTTCATAAGACAGATTTTGTAATTATCTTGAGTCTAATGAAAACTTTTTACATTTTTTTTATTCTTGTGCCATAAATTAATTTAATACATTTGGGACATAATTAGCGTTTTATTGAGTTATCTGTCATCCTTTTTTTGTTTCTCTCAACCCAGGAAACAAACCCACAAAAGAAAAAATTGCTTCTTCTCTTTTTGGGAACTTCGAGAATCCATAACAGGTGGATACATGAGACAGAATTATTATCAAAGACAACAATGAATGGCTCAAGATTACACAGTAGAGATTAAGTGAGGTCTCTCTACCTCTTCTATTTGTCTGTGTATAGTGATGTCCCGAACGGTTCGCTGGCGAATAGTTCCTGGCGAACATAGCGTGTTCGCGTTCGCCACGGACGGCGATCATATGCGATGTTCGGTCCGCCCCCTATTAATTTACTAATACTAAGTAAAAATTACTTAGTATTAGTAAATTGTGCCCCTACTCGCAATACCACGAGTAGGGGCATGTTTATTAAACAGTGAGCAGCCTGTGGCTGCTCACTGTTTAAAAAGAAAAAATGGTCGTCCCCCCCCCGGTGGGGGCCCTAAATACTAATAGGGAGGGGGACCTTATTGATAATGAGGGGGGGACCTACTGCCCCCCCCGGCCCCCACCCCTGCGCGGCGGGTGGGGGCCATATTGATAATGAGGGGGGGGGGACCTACTGCCCCCCCAGCCCTCACCCCTGCGCGGCGGGTGGGGGCCATATTGATAATGAGGGGGGGACCTACTGCCCCCCCCGGCCCCCACCCCTGCGCGGCGGGTGGGGGCCATATTGATAATGAGGGGGGCATTTTTAAACTTCTCAGAAAACATAGGCTACACAAAGTACACCCCTGCATTCATCATCAAGACTACATGAAGACACACCTCTGCAGTCAAAGGCAAACACTGCACTCAAGTAAATCACTAAAAATAAAATGGCAACAGTAGATACAAACACACAACACAACACCATACACAAATACATTTCTAAATTCAAACACACATGCTTCATACAAACATATGCTTGCATTCAAATACATAAACACTGCTCAGTGTTAAATACAACCCTGCAAGGATGGGCAAATGGAAGATCCCCAGCTGACAAAGCATTGTAGGAGTTGTACGGCAGATAGGGATCTACCTTTTGTCCCATCTTCTTGCACCATGGCACTCTCTACTTTTAGTTTCACCACTGAGAAGGAACCTGGGTAGGAGGGAGGAGGGACAGGTTGGTGGATAGTGATTAGAGAAAATGAAGAGCCTGAGTTTTAGCTTGTGGGCTGGGTTTGTGGATTAAAACCTAAGAAACATAGATGGAAATAAAACAGTTATATGAAGGTATTTTTTTATTTAGGAGGGTCAAGGATGAAGAAAGAGGGGGTGGGTAGATTAAACATTTGTTGTCTACATTAGAAAAGTTTACCAACCAAATTCTATAACCCCATATATTAATAACAATGCGTACGTGAAATATTGGTGGAATACATTCACTGAAAAAAACTGCATGTACTGAAAATGACAGTGATATAAAACAGGTATAAATAAATATATCATAATTTCTGTGTGTCAGAAATATCAGTACACATCCGACTTACATTTTCTGTAGATTTATTCTGCTTAAAAATACTAATATATAGTAAAATAACAAAGGATGTTACAGGATGATGAATATTCAACAGCGATGTTCTGTGCTGGACCCAGGAAGGAAGCCTTTTGTCAAGAAAACCAGAGAACAGACAACACCTACTCCCCAAAACTCCAGTTAAATAAAGGATGTGTGTAGAAATGTCTGTCTTTGTGTTTAATCAAATTTGAAGATAATTTCCATTGGTTTAGAACCACATTCTGAATTTCTCAGACAAAAAAAAGCCATATGTCTTATTGACATTAACTATGCTATACTCACCCATACAACCATGTAATGTATGACTAGAATATGTAATATTCTACACTACCTCACCAGTAGGTGTCATTAGTCAAAATACCTAATGATATATGTCTGCCTATCTCAAATCTGCATACACCCTGTTCCAAATTATTATGCAAATGATATTTTTCTCATTTACCTAAATAATTGATGTAAATAACAGTCAGCATAATTCTCATGTTATCAACTATTAAGAGTACAAATCAAATTTTATTGAACAAACATCCTAATGATAACAGTATTTTTTTTAAACATAAAAAACTTATAATGCACTGTTCCAAATTATTACGCACAGTAAGTTTCAAAACACTTTATAGGTTGTAAAAAACTGAAAATTGTCATTTGTTGTGTTTGCAGCATATTTACTGAAATCAAAAGCTATTTCAATCAAACTTCTAACAACAGTTTAACTTTTTAAACATTTGAACAGGTCACGTTACATTTTAACATAGGACCCCTTATTTGATAGCAGCTTCACAAGTCTTGCATCCATTGAACTTGTGAGTTTTTGGACAGTTTCTGCTTGAATTTGTTTGCAAGATGTCAGAATAGCCTCCCAGAGCTGCTGTTTGGATGTAAACTGCCTCCCACACTCATAGATCTTTTGCTTGAGGATGCTCCAAAAGTTCTCAATAGGATTGAGGTCAGGGGAGGATGGAGGCCACACCATGACTTTCTCTCCTTTTATCCCCATAGCAGCCATTGATGCAGAGGTATTCTTCGCAGCATGAGATGGTGCATTGTCATGCATGAAGATGATTTTATTACGGAAAGCATAGTTCTTCCTCCTGTACCAGAGAAGAAAGTGGTCAGTCAGAAACTACACATACTTTGCAGATGTCATCTTTACACCTTCCGGGACCCTAAAGGGGCTGACCAGCTCTCTTCCCATGATTCCGGCCTAAAACATGACTCCACCACCGCCTTGCTGACGTCTCAGCCTTGTTGGAACAGGGTGGCCGTCCACCAACCATCCACTACTCCATCCATCTGGACCATCCAGGGTTGCACGTCACTCATCAGTGAACAGGACTCTTTGAAAATTAGTCTTCATGTATTTTTTTGCCCAATGCAGCCATTTCTGCTTGTGAGCATTGGTTAGCGGTGGCCGAATAGAAGGTTTATGCACAGTTGCAAGACTCTGGAGGACTCTACACCTTGATGTCCGTGGGACTCCAGAGGCACCAGCAGCTTCAAATATCTGTTTGCTGCTGTGTAATGGTATTTTAGCAGCTGCTCTCTAGATCCGATGCATGGATCTGGCAGAAATCTTCCTCAATGTGCCTTTATCTGCACAAACCCGTCTGTGCTCTGAATCAGCCACAAGTATCTTAATCGTGCGATGATCACGCTTAAGTTTTTGTGAAATATCTAATGTTTTCATACCTCGTCCAAGGCATTGAGCTATTTCACTCTTTTCGGCAGCAGAGACATCCTTTTTCTTCCCCATATTGCAAGAAAATGGTGCTCTGCAAGAAAAATATTTAGGAGCTGTGCATTTAAAGAGACATGTTAAAAGAGCACTATTGTGTCAGGAGCACACATGTGTATTCCAGACACTATAGTTCTAAAACCACCGTAGTAGTCAGCCTCCTTACCTCGGGCTAGAAAAGTGATTTACTCACATTTTTCCAGCTCTGAACGGAGGTTCTTGCATCCGCCCCTGCTCGATTTGCCTCCTTGGCTGACATCGTCAGAATTGATGTTCTCAGCCAATCACAATGCTTTCCCATAGGATTGGCTGAAATTGTCCAATCTTATTACCTCAGCCAAGGAGGTGGTGGATGGAGCCAAATGCCGCCATGGCCAGTCAGCATCTCCTCGTAGAGATGGATGAAGTCAATGCATCTCTATGGGGAAAGTTCAGTGACTCCATGCAGAGTGTGGAGGCGCTAAACATCAATGCTGCACACTGCCCCAGGAAGTACGTCTGAGCAGTGGCCACCAGAGGTATTCCTAGGCCTTTCTCTGAAATGGCAGTGTTTACACTAAAAAGCCTGCAAGTACTTACTATACTTACCAGAACGATTACAATAAGCTGTAGTTGTTCTGGTGACTATACTGTCCTTTAAATTGCATCTACATCTACATCTATATCAAAGATGACCGAGGACCTGACAGTGAAAGGGGGCCCGGAGGCTTGCCCAGTATGCCGCCGGGTGGCCCCTCCACATGGTCTGCCCACAGAGAGAGCCAGCCTCTGATCTGTAGCTCAGCCGAGTGCAGAGCTGCAGATCACGTAATGTGGTTCTCGCGAGCACACAGAGCGTTGGCGCGGGTTACCATGGCAACACTCTGATAGGAGCTCGTGAGATTAAGGTCTGCAGCTCTCGTGTGGCGGAGCTGCAGACCGAATAGTCATCCCACCGGACCACCAGGGACTGCTGCCACTGGACCACCAGGTAATTAGATTTAAACTAAAATGCTCTACCACCCTCACTTCCCTGCCTCCCACATACACTGCCCTGCCCCCTACCTGCCCTGCCACCAACAGTACCCTGCCACCCACACTGCCCTACCACCCACACTTCCCTGCCCCCCACATACACTGCTTGGCCCCCACACTGCCCTGGCCCCCACAGATACTGCACCCACACTGCCCTGCCCCAACACTGCCCTGCCCACCTACATGCTCTGCCCCACCTACCCTGCCCCAACACCTCCTACCACCCACACTTCCCTGCTCCCCCCACATACACTGCCCTGCCCCCACGCAAACTGCCCTGCCCCACACCCAACACCACCACCTACACTGCTCTCCACTCCATAACACAACATGCCTACACTGCTCTTCCTCCACACTAACCTGCCACCACACCGCCCCTGCCCCCCACGCACCCACCCCTACACTCCCTGCCCCCACATACACTGCACCCTACACTTACTACCACACTGCCACCCACACTGCCCTGCCCCAACAAACTACTGCCCTACACCGACTACTACAAATACCTGCAGCCCACTGCCCTGCCCCCACATTGCCCACCACTGACCACCATGTACCCTTCCCACTCTGACCACCACATTCGCTGCCCCCACATTAACCACCACATACCCTGCCACCACATACACTGACCCCCACACCAACCATCACACTGACTACAACAGACCCTGTCCCCCACATTGACTACCACATACCGTGACCCCCACACTGCCCCCCACACTGAACACCACATACCCTGCCACCCACACTGACTACCACATATGTTGCCCCCCACATTGCCTCCTCCACTGCCTCCCACACTGCCCCCACACTGACTCCCACACACCCTGCACCCCACACTGTCATACACACTGCCTCCCATACACCCTGCCCCTCACTCTGACTCCCACACACTCTGTCCCAAACATTGCCCCCCTACACTGTCTTCCACACACTCTGCCCCCACACAGTTTCTCACACAAAATGCCCTCCACTGTCACACACACTGCCCCCCCACTGTTACACACACTACTCTCCCACACACTCTACCGCCCACACTGTCACCATCCTCCACACTGCCACCCCACACTTCCTCCTCATGCTCACCTATTCACACCCTGCCCCCTAAACTGTCACATTCCTCCACACTGCTCCCTCACCCTGTTACCCTTTCACACACTTGCACCCCATATTGTCAGTCCCCAACACTCTGTCACCAATACATACAGTCACCCCTCCCAAACACTGCCCCTGCACACACTGTCACCCTTTCCAACATTGCCTCCCACACTCTCACATACCCACATCACAATTCCACACACATACAGTCACCCCCCACACTGTCACCCTTCAACACACACTGTCACCCCCCACATGCTGACATGCCCCCTTCACCCAGCCTCGCTCACATTAACCTCTCCTAATCTTGTTGCTCTCACCCCCTCCATCCATACCACAATTACCTGCCCTCGCTCTTCCACACTCACCCTATCACATTAATCCCCCTAATCCTATCACACTTATCTTCTCTCATACTGTTACACTCACCCCCAACATTGTCACACTCATCCATTTTCACATTAACCCTTTCAGTCCTGCCCAACCATGCCACATTCACCCTGTCACATAATTCTGTCTTTCCCGCACCCTGTCACACTCCCTCCTCCAACCGTGCAACACATAACCCCAACCCTGTCAAACTCATCCCCTTCACCCTATCACATTAACTTTTCCTATCCTGTCACTCTCACCCTATCACATAATCCTCCCTCGCCCTGTCACACTTTCTCCTTCAACCGTGCCACACTCACCCCAACAGTGAGTACAGACACTAGCTCTCTGTATCCAGTGCTGCAAGTCTGCCCTTCAATATAACTACAGCTCATTATACACACAATGCAACCCCTCGGTGGCGTACACACAACCTATGGGGCCCCGGTGTGAAAACTGATCCGTGGTTACTCTGCATGGGCTGGGGCCGCAACACATGGCGATGGACCTCTGCGACTGCTGTAGGTACGCCAGTGCATGCAGATACACATACACTTAAAGTACCACTACAGACACCCAGATCACATCAGCTCAATGAAGTGATCTGGGTGCCAGGCCCCTCTAGTTTTAACCCTGCAGCTGAAAACATAGCAGTTTCAGAGAAACTGCTATGTTTCACTGAGGGTTAATCCAGCCTCTAATGGCTGTCTCATTGACAGCCGCTAGAGGAGCTTCCGCAATTCTCACTGTGAAAATCAGTGAGAAGACGCTGAACGTCCATAGGAAAGCATCGAGTAATAGGAAAGCCTCGGTATCTTGTCATCATTAATATTCCTCCCTATTCGTTATATCTATATATTTTCTATTCTTTTTTCCCTTTCCCTCTCTTCCCTTTTTTTTTTTTACGTACACATATATATATGTATATAAATATTTATACACACACACACATACATACATACACATTCCTTTCCTAATTAATTATTGTGTCATTGTATCAAGTAAAGAGATAAAAAAAGAAACACCAGATGGGATAAGTGCTAAAACTCTATTTGTTGCCTCCCACCCACCCCTCTCTTGTAACTTCCTATGATAACTATTGTCTTGATAATCTATTTATCTTCCTATTTTGGAGAGAGAGAGAACACCCTATTGTTATTTTATCATATAGTGTTTGCCCGATTCTTGGGATCTTCGAAGGCCTTTTAAATCTTTCACTATATCACTTCTTGAATTAAGGATTCTAGTTTATTAATCCATATATACCAGTCTTCTATCTGGGTGTATCTATTTCCCAGGTTCGTTGGCATGCCCCTTTCCATTTTCGCTTGCCATGTCACCTGAGATAGTAATTCTTGGATATGTGGAATTGTCAGTGTTTTCCAATTGCATGCTATTAAGAGTTTAGCAGCCGTGATGATATGTATAGTCACCATTTGTTCATTCTTTGGCATTCTGGGCCATCCTAAGTTTAGTAGGAATACTTCCGGTTTGAAATTCATTTTCCTTCCAGTTGTTTGTTCAATAAGCTTCAGTACTTTCTTCCAGCCTCTACAATTTCCACAGTAAAAAAATCCTTTTTGTTCCTTTAAAAAATTGTTTGGGCATTCTTTCTTTTCTTTCTCTTGGAAACTACTAGTTAAAATGTACTTAAAATTCCTAGCTCCTCTAAAAATAAGTCTGGGTTTTCCTCCTATTAGTGGACGTATTTCCTCATCTAAATTCAAGACATGCCAATTTTTATTAATAATTCTATGCAAATTATGATTATTAGAATTAAAATTAAAAATAATGTCTTTATATTCTAATATTTCTAACCTATTTTCCTCTATCACTTGTTTATAAGCTTTTTCTATAAGGTCTTTATCATACCCCTTCTCTAAAAATTGTTTTGCTAAAATTTTCACTTGATCATTACCAGATTTGACCCAAGTTATGCAAATTTATTTATGTCCTACTGGGAGAAAAAAACACGTTTTCTCCAAGCTGGACATTGGGGCAAATCTGGTCCTCTACAAACGATATATAGATGACATTTTTATTATATGGAGAGGCAGTTCCCAATCTTTATTGAGATTTATTGATTCTCTTAATGATAATTTATGGAATATTAAATTGACCCATGTTATCAGCCCCTCTAATATTAATTTTTTTAGATTTGGAATTTTTTATAGATAATGGTTTAATCAAAAGTCGGACGTATTTTAAATCTGTGGATGTTAACTGCTTTATTGATTTCTCTAGTTGTCATTTTAGACCATGGTTATCAAATATACCAAAAGGACAATTTTTAAGGCTAAAAAGGAACTGCACAGATGAACGAGATTTTAATGATCAAACGAAAATTTTAGAAAAACTATTTTTAAAGAAGGGGTATGATAAAGACCTTCTAGAAACAGCTTATAAACAAGTGAAAGATGAAAATAGGTTAGAAATATTATAATATAAAGACAAGGAAATTAAAAAAGAAACACAAAGGGGCGGAGCCGAGCACCAGACAGGAACGGTTGCATCACCTCCGAGCTCCGGACAAACGACGCCTTAAAGGCCCTAAAACTAAGCCCTGTGGCACCTACAGAGGCACTCTACCAGCTCCCGGGGAAACCCAAGTAAGCGAGCAACAAGCTGATGCCTTTTTTGTATCCGCAAACGAGCAGAAAGTCCCGACGGAAAACCGGGGCCTACACCGCCTACCAAGCCTCAAGGCTAACACAAGAACTCACAGCCCTGAGAGTGCACCAGGATGCCTACCTGCAGATTGGGACAGCTGCGCCTAACGACTACAACATGGGCAGAAAATCCCAGAGACCCACACAGAACACAAGCAGGACCACACAGGACATAGGCTACCTGCTGCAAAGACCAATGGTGCCCAAGATGGCGGCCTCGCCAGACCGCACAACTGCCTCCCAAGATGAAGAAGAGCAATCTGGAGCCGAACAAGAACTATTAACCGCTCACCCGATAAGGGATCCACAAACTAACAGCACTCACATCACACCGGCTACTAAACAAGACATAGCCGACCTGCTGAAAGAAATGAGACAAATACACGCAGCAGATATGGACTTGCTAAGGACCGAAATGCAGGCAGTAATTACACGCACTCAAGCCACCGAAGATGACACCCTAGACTTGAAACAAGAGGTACAGGGGCTAAAAGAACAAATAATACTCATGCAGACATCCCAATCCAACCTCACTACGAGAATGGACCTAGCAGAGGACCGCAACAGGCGCACTAACTTAAAATTAAGGGGGATACCGGATAGCGTGGACTCCACAGAACTACCCCACTACCTCAGACGTCTCACAGCCACGCTCCTACCGCACGCCCAAGCCAAAAGATTCACACTAGACGGCTTCTTTAGAATCAAAAAAGCAAGACAAGCCCCAGCCACAGCTCCACAAGATGTCATCATCCGGTGCCACTCAGTGGCAGACAAAATCAAGATCCTTACAGCAGTCAGGGGAAGGACACCACTTGCTTTTGAATCATCCCACATTACCTTCTATCAGGACTTAACAAGAAGCACGCTGTTGTGGCGCAGGTCCCTGGCACAAGTGACGAGCAGTCTGCGCAAAGCTAAAATTGAGTACAAATGGACTCTACCAAGGACCCTGACTGTAACCAAAAACGGTACCACACACAATCTTTCCTCACTACAGGAGGCAGAACAGTTCCTACGCGCACTGGGGATTCACGCCGGACCCGCAGCACAAGAAACTCCCACGTCTTCGCACACCTGGGATCCTGACAGAATGACTCCATTCATCCCCAGGAATAGAGAGCACCCGAGAGAACCGACCTGAACTGTAAAAATTGTAACCAACAAGCATACAATGCATTGACCGGTTCCGGTCTTGCCTTCTGTTTTACCCTTGGTTTCTCCTGTTGTTTCACTGTTTATTTTTATCACTGTATTACTGTAACATATGCACCTACACAACTAACTAAACGCTACACCATAACTGCTGCTGACACAACATCAGACAAGACCCACCCTGACACATACACCAAAAGCTCCAGGGAGAATACACCTCCTCCCACCCCCCTGCGACCTCCTCGGTAAGGAGTCAATTCCCAACCCACTGGACGATCGCAGAGGCACACATAGGCTCAATGAGCGACAACCCCTATACACATGTATGCCCATACGCAAACAGACACACGTTGACACACGCGGACTTCATAGCACTCACCTGTGGACACAAACGCCACTGAGGACAACCATTCGTACACACAATTAACCCTTCAGGGAACATGTAAGGGGGCACAAACACACAACCAAGCAGCTCCAAACAGACAACCCTTGGGTTCTTTACCCCCCACAATACTACTATCCTAACACTGGAGGGGAAAAAGACACACTCCTCAAAATTACTCCAATGTTGCCTCAGTTTGACAGCAACTGACCCATAGATTATATTAAAATGTGCAGAACTAGCTGACACCACAGATTAGAATCGACAGACTGCTATGAATGCCTAAACTATGTTGTGATGTCATGAAACGTTTGAAAACCCGGAAGGCTGTTGTGGCCATACGGGTAGTATTGTAACTAACCTTGCCCGCAAAAATAAAGAATTGCAAAAAAAAAAAAAAAGAAACACAAGAAATTATTCCCCTAATTTTTAATTTTAATTCTAATAATCATAATTTGCATAGAATTATTAATAAAAATTGGCATGTCTTGAATTTAGATGAGGAAATACGTCCACTAATAGGAGGAAAACCCAGACTTATTTTTAGAGGAGCTAGGAATTTTAAGTAAATTTTAACTAGTAGTTTCCAAGAGAAAGAAAATAAAGAATGCCCAAACAATTTTTTAAAGGAACAAAAAGGATTTTTTTACTGTGGAAATTGTAGAGGGTGTAAGATAAGAACTGGGAAAAATAGGAGAATTTTTACATTTATCTCTCTTAATGCCAAAAAAAAAATAGGAAATTAAGTATTTTACTACATGTAACACTGTGGATGTTATATATATGTTAATATGCCCCTGCGGTTTACAATATATAGGGAAAACATCTCACCCATGAAAGACACGAATTAGGGAACATATATATAACTTCAAAAGGAGATTCCCTAATCATTGTGTGTCCAAACATTTTATGGAGCACCATAATGGAGATCCTAGTGGTTTGGATTTCTTCGCAATAGATCATATTAAAATCCATTGGAGAGGTGGAGATAAGGACAACCTCCTAAGCAAGACCGAAATTAGATGGATTTTTAATTTGGATACACTTATACCGTGGGGGCTTAATGTAGATTTTGAGATTAATACTTATATTTAATTTAATTATAAAGGTTTTTTTTAATTAAATTTATCATATCAGAGACTATGCTATTTATATTAGTTAAAACGTTTAGGAAATAAATGTGGTTTTATTTGTGGTAATAATTGGTATACAATTTTAAAATTGATATTTGTAAAGTACTTTTAAGTATTCTTAACATTTTTCTAATTTTACTATTTTTCTAATTTATCTAAAGCATATTATAATGTTATTAACATGTATTTTATTAAAAAGTAACTGTACTTTATTTTTTATGCATTCCCCCAGCATTTCTGTGCTTTTAAATGGAACAATATGATATTATCCTCTCCCCCCTTTTTTTCCTATTAACCTCTTTTTTTAGTGTGTTTTTGTAGGAAAAGAAAAGTTTTGACATTTCATGCATTAGAAGAGTTAGCTTGTTGTAATTTTGTTTTAAAATTTGACTGTGATAATATGTATGTAGTATGTTGCAATAGGAGTTTCCTTTTGCAACATTAAAGACTATTCTGCACAAGCAAGGAGATCATCCCAACGTCATTTCTGACGAACGCGGAAGTAAATGAAGGTTACTATGGACGCTAGGATGCCCAATTAGGTTGCGTCTGAATGGAAGGGGAGGAGCCTATTACCGAACAGGAGAAAGGCGCGAAAAAGCTCCTATTTAAACAAAGAACGGACTGAATGGACTTTGATAAAAGCTTTGGCTGAAACGCGTCAGTGTGTGGAGAGTGAGATTGCTGAGCTTCATTTTTTGCTGCTGTATTTTTACTCTGGAATAATAAACCTTTTACTGAGATCCTGCATCCTGGATTTTTATAAGAAAGGACAAGTAAGCAGTTAGCATTTTACTCCAGCTATCACTACATTAATCCATTCAACGTTCTTAGTCTGAGCCAGCTTCTATTTTAAGTGGCTCCGAAATATGTGAGTTTACACAATTATTTGCTCATTTATTAATTATCTGTACGTTATTACCCTATGTCTGTTTTTCCTGATTTTATCTCTACAGGATTTTAACTGAACATAGGGGTAACTATTTTAACTATTTTAATATTTTGTTTTGTGTGTGCTCTCACCACATGTATTGTTTTATTTATTCATTTATGTGAAGTGGAGTGACCCACATTGGTGATTGTAGCACTCTGTTTCACATTGGTTTTTAACCTAATATATACACCTACTTTTATTGTACTTTCTTCCAGTATTGATTTTATCAGAGGACAATTCCACTAGATGTGGAGTAAATTGCTTTCGTTAGCATTACATTTCTAACATCTGTTGGGTGTTTCCGGGAAAATTCTGTTTAGACGTTTAGGTGTAGTAATGCAGGAAGTTTAGTTGTTCAAATCATTCAGTACGTCAGTGGCAGTAAAGCTGTGTTCATACATTTGATAAGGAAGTCTTTTTCTAGAATGAGGGTGTGTGGCTAAAGAGGCAGACTTATGGTGCAGCATTCTGCATAGCATTTATTTATTATATGCAAAACCTATAAAGATTTGAGCATGCAAACAAATACAGCATATTAAAGGTTCACTCCACGCACTAAAACAACTTCATCTTAATGATATTATTATGATGCCTGGAGGCCCCCAAGCACACTTTTATCTTCAGGGGTCGACCCAGAAGTTCTCTCCAGTGCTGATCTCAGCTCTTCTCCTAGCAGGCATCCCTGTTCTGAAATTTCACTTACAGGAAGTGCATAGTGCTAGGAAAAGATAAGAAAAGGTACAAAACTCGTATGGAAAAGGTATGTTTCTTTCTGTTATAGGAGAATTCTGAAGAAGCCACGTACAGAGAGTCCGGACACAGATCAGTTCAGGAAGCAAAGGTCTTTTTTTTTAATTCTGTATTTATTGAGTTTTCATAGTCAAAATATAGCTTTACAGAAAGGAAATTGGTGTTAGGCAAAGCATTGATAACATTTTAATTGGATCAATTGTTTGTCAAATATATTTTTGATTTAGGTCCCCCACCCGCCGCTCAGGGGTGGGGGCCGGGGGAGGACAATAGGCCCCCCTTATTCTGATTTAGGGCCGGGGGGAGGACAATAGGTCACCCCCATTTTTCTGATTCAGGGCACCCACCTGCCGCTCAGGGTGGGGGCTGCGGGGAGGACAATAGTTATTCTTATTCTGATTTAGGGCCGGGGGGAGGACAATAGGTCACCCCATTATTCTTATTTAGGGCCCCCATCCGCCGCTCATGGGTGAGCGCCGGGGGGACATGATAGATTCCCCCCATTGTCATCCAGGGCCGCCACTCAGGGATGGGGGCCGAGGGGGCAATAGGCCCCCCTTCAATTTTAAAGCCCCCACTCGCACTGCATGGGTGGGGGTTCGGGAGCGGGGATACTTGGTGTTTTTTAAACTGTTTAGTAGACATGCCCCTACTCGCGGCATAGGTAGTAGGGGCAGAATTTACTAATACTAAGTAATCTTTAGGGAGCTATCTACCAAAAGGCTGAAAGACCTAAATTGGTCTTTCAGCCTTTTGGTAGATAACTCCCTAATTCCCATGGTATTAGGGAGCTATCTACTTACTCATTCCCATCCATTGACTGGCTAAGTAACTTACATTTTATATGAACGCGTTACTTGATTGTTGTAAGTGTTGCAAATGCTTACAGCTGAATTCTGGCTATGTGTGTATACTTTTTATTTAAACTGGTGTACAGTGTAACATTCTTCATTCTTCCACTGGGTATATTAGTACTTCGACAATTCTGTGCTTTGGCACTTCGGCTATTCGGACATACGGCGCTTTGGGACTTCGGCACTTCGGAAATTCGACTATACAGCTATTTGGATATTCGAATGTCCGAAGTATCAGAATGTCCGAATTGCCCGAAATGCATCCGAATTGACATTCGGAACGAAACGAATTGCACATGTCTATTTGCTAGAGCTATAAACCAGCACTGAGTAAAATAGCATACAGCAGTATAATCCCCACTGATGGATATGTAGATCATTAGAGGTAAGTCTGACAGCATCCAGATGAGTATAAAATTGTAAAACATAAAAAGCAAACAATAGTGCTTACTGAGTAAAACCTAAACCAGGTAAAAATATAAATGGTAATTTACTCACATTTAGTAGAGCAATAACACCGCTCAAGAGATAGCACTGAGGATATAATGTTGAGTAGATTCTCCTGAGGGCAATCCTTTCCAGGGATTGGATGTAGAGTAGAGTAGATACTTCAATAGTTTTTAAATGTGCCAGGAACAATAAAATCAATAAAAAATAATAAAATAGTAATAAATAGTAAATATTTATAATAATAATAATAGTAAACCACGCACAACGCATTTCGCCAAACATACACTTGAAAAAGCCCTCAAAAAAATTTGCATATCACAAAGTACAGCAATTTATGCTCTAGAAAATAACATGCATAGGATCATGCTACCGGTATTGTAATAATAAATTAATATAATATAAAATTTTTATTAAATATCCACTTTTGCACTTTGAAGATGACATTTCATGAAAACTAATTAGCATGTGACATCAAAGCGCTTTCAAACAAACAGCACTGTAAAGTTGCCATTAAACTCATTAAATCAATCGAGACTAAGAACATAATCAAAAATAATGTATTAAGACTCCAGACAGACTCTGGCACTGTTACTTTGAATGTTACATTGAGCTGTTCCCTCTGGTAAACTCAGACAGATTAGCAGCAACTAAATGACGTGCATTAAGCGACAGAAATGAGATACAAGCCTTGGTAATCAAACGGCCCTAGGGACCACCGAACCAGATACGGTCAATAGATCTGTTCACCTCTTGCAAGGGAGATGCAAACGGGCCCTGACGATGCTCCCCCTGAATCCTTCCCCCCTATATCCTCTCCTCCTCCCCCCACCCTCCTTCCATACCCATCTTCGCTAATTTCTTTATCTTCTCTATCCACTTATCACCATATTTCTTGTTCATTATGTACAATTGTGCAGCGAATGATTTCTCAGGGACCACTAGGAGAGAAAATGAGCAAAATATGCTATTACACTACCCTCTGACGTTCTTAAAGGGGGAAGTGACTATCGAGCGAAAAGTGCTCTACTTCTTTAATATATCGTTAGTACGATTGTGCATGATTTCTTTTTACCTACAAAAAACAAAAACCCCAAGACGGGTTGTCGAACGTTGTAAATTTCCAAGATTGGCTCTGAGACACAATGTACTGATTGAACATATGGGCTACAGATGTTATACTATTCACGGTTATGTATACTCTTCCCATATATATAGCACTGTCGTTAACATGTATACGTTCAAGTGTGTTTCTTTATAGTATACTCATGCTATGGATATGATGTATGTTTTCTTTTTGTCTTGGTATAAATAAATAATTTAAAAAAAAAAAGAAAAAAAAAGAAATGAGATACAACGTAAGAGATGAAAAACAAGAGTGATTGTATAAATGTCATGCTACTTATGCTCATATGTATAATATGCTTGCTGTATATTGGCATTGTAAAGTCCTAAAATATGCACGTGTCATTGATAAAATCAAAATACAACAGTGGCCAGGGACCAGTTGGCAGTGGAACTGAGGCTGAGTGGTGTGGATTATTTTATTATGGGCGACCAAGATACTGTTAACCATACACATCTGCACTGACACATGCAATGACATTCAATGAAAAATACATCCCTAGCTCGGGTTCACACACATTGACACTCCATGCCACTCCATTTCAATGGATTGACAATCCACACAAACCTATCACCTGCATTCACACATAAGTATGCTGCAAAAATATATTTTAGCATTAAACTACACTCATAATCTGAACAAACACACCCATGTGATGAAAAAAATAAACATTTTTGGTTTTAATATCACCAACCATAGCAAAATGTTAAAGTATTTTTTACTAAAGTGAGAAATTAATTCACAGTGAATTTGAAATTTAGGGCTAAGGTAGCTGAGAATGAAGCATAGCTGAATTTTTCCAGTTCAGCAATTTTTACCATGAATTTGAAATTAAAGGGACACTATAGGCACCCAGACAAATTCAGCTCACTGAAGTGGTCTGGTTGCAGTGTCCCAGGTCCCTCAATCCTGCAACAGCAATTATTGTAATTTTTTAAAAACTGCAATAATTACCTTTCAGGGTTAACTCCAGCTCTGGTCGCTGTATAGCAGATAGTCACTAGAGGGACGTCCAGGCTGTTAGGCGACTTTTGGTCACCTAACTGACGTTGGACGTTCTCACGCTTTGCATGGGGACATCTAGCATCACACATAATCCCATAGGAAAGCATTGTATAATATATATATATATATATATATATATATAAAATGTAATGCGTACATTGATTCATTATCCCTAAAATGCTCTCCAAGAACTTTGATCCACTATGCAGGCTGATTCTTGAAGACAGTAGGTCTATCTATCCTATAAATTTACAAGAAAAGTAAACTGTAATGAGAACACACTAACATTATTCAGAAATCAGTCTCAACATATTTACAAACTAAGAAATATGTATTCATGCCTTGGGGCTCCAAACGTTTTAGTTTCTTGAAACAATTAGGCTCTTTTTGTTTAAGGAATCTCAATCTACCTCCTTCACATCTTGGCACAGTTATCCAGTTTATATATTGGATATCTAAATTAGACAAATAATGTTTAGCTTCCATGAACTGGTATGGAAGCAGCAACTCTGATCTGATTGTCTGAATCATCACTTCAAGGCCTTGCTTATGGATTTGCTGCAATATGGAGTGCTGTATGTAGTAAGATGTGTATGGCCATCAGTGTTACTACAGCTACCTATGATTTAAATGAGGTAGTGTGAGTAAGATAATATTTTGCCACTAGATGTCACTCTTGATTCCTTGGATCTAGCTATGGTTAGAAATGAACATTGGATTCCAAAATTCAGCAAATCGATGAATACAGGTTTCTTTTTACGGGTCTTCTAGGCAAAAATCCAGATTATATTCATATATCAGGGCTAAAAACTTGAAGATGTAGACTAACAGGGCTATTTACTAAATACTGGATTTTGTAAGCCAAAATGGAAGTGCATATGCTTTCTAATAAGGAATAATCCAGTTAGGTGCACTTTAATTGATTTACCATCAATTAGTGGAGATATATAGATGATGTGTTGGTGTTGTGGTGTGGCACATTGGAGTCACTGGAAGCCTTTTCCCAATTCCTAAACTCAGGGTCAATGAGCATAAAATTCACCATGACCTATAATCTCACAAAGAATCAATTTTGGGATGTTTTGGTACAGAAAGATAATAGGAGGATTCATACTAAATTATATAGAAATGGAATGGGAGGATTCATACTAATTTATATATATCAGAATGCTTATTATTTCCTTCCCCCATCTGTTTTTAGGGCCCTTTCAGAATGTCAGTTTGCTAGGATTTGGATAAATAGCTCTAAACCAGAATGGTTAGATTGACATCTTAAAAACACGATACAAAGGTTTAAAAAAAATGTGGGTATCCCTGAGAAATACTGAAGAAATAGAAAACTGAGGTTCTAAAATAAGAAATAATTACACTACTGACACCAAAAACAAAATCTTATGAAAAGAGCTCTGTTAGAGTTTATTTTTATTTTCAAGTATAATACTCTTGTTCAAAAATACGGGCTATTTACAAAACAGTTGGCAGATACTACCTAAATGTTACCCAGATATTCTGGAGTTTGCTTCACAACCAATGTAGATGCATAGGAAGAATCTATGAATCTGTTACAGGCTGCTAAATGTAGATTTCTTCAGTTTTTAAAAGATATACGATTGTAATTATATATGCTAATTTTAATTAATCACAACTATTAAAGTGCCAATAAGAGTGTTTTGCAATACAATCATGCAAAAAAATAAATAAAATCAACTGATATTTTTAAACAGCTAAGAAAGTTCTCCACATTTATATTTGTTAGGTAAAGTGCAAATGTGGAAAATAGCTCCAAGAATCCAATTTCCCTTTTTGTTCTTTAGAGAATAACCCTGTTATTCAAAGAGACAATTTGTCCTTTATGTTCTTTGTGAGGAGCCATTGGAAAAAAAACAACTAGATAAAAGAACAATACAATAAAAGTGACAAGAAAGTGTAACAAAATCATTTAAGTAAATTGCTACTGGCTACAGTGTCCATATGACTCAATATGTATCTCGGAATGTCCCATAGTGCCTTTGTTGGCAGTGCAAAGTGTTCCACAACATGAATATAAAATCCAAATGGATCTAAACACATAGAAATAAACATCCAAAAGGCTTCAGGAAGGTTACATTTTTTTTACTCTGTACTCCCTTTTCTTGCTTCTGGTACGTATTCTATTATTTGAACGTTTAATTGGAAGATGTTCTGTTTGTGTTCTATAAAATGTGCAGGTATTGGCAAGTCAAATAACTCCTAACTGATTTTTTGCGTAGTGGCTCCCAGGGACACCATACCTAAAGGGAATTTAAGGAGATATGCTATAGATGTTATAGGTGACAAAATCTTTGATTATGTATTTCTTGCCATTGTACGGGTGATGAAAGACATCCTCATGTATCATGGCATAATGCATTGCAAGCAAGTCACTTAGGACAGGGGAGTTTGATATAAGGAACTGCATTCAGTGTCCCGATTAAAATCAGTGCTTTTGCATCTGAATCCAATATAAGGAAAACATCCCCATTTTTGGGGCGACACATTTCTTGGACCTCTGGATATTGGGAGGTATATACAGGCTGACAGTCCACTAAACAATCTGTACTTTCCGAATATCTTTTTTTCCTGGTCACCCAAAGTTTCAAGGTTAATTTTACTTTGCATTCTGCTACACAGGACTACCATCTTACTTGCTGAAACACAATTGTATGATGCGCATTTACATATTAAAGGAGTAAATATTTAGTAATGTCAGTGTATGTATAGTTTTATAATAATAAATACATTTGTTATCATCAACCAAAACCGAAAAGCTCTCCTTTTATTTTTTGCAGAATATCCTATTGCCAGATCGGATGCAAAGGATTACATGGTATTAGAAGAGCATTTTCAGATTGCAGATTTTGGCCAGTAATAATTAGCTTCATATTTTATTGTGTTATAGATACACCACAAAGACGCATTAGAAAATATGAAGAAACCTAACCAGTTGTTCCGGAATGCCACCTCAAAGTTTATTTTCAGCACACAATATTTAAAAGGTTAGCCACCAGTTTTCAAGAGCAATAATTATTAAGAGTATCAAACCCAGTACACAGCAATGGAGCAGCATCCAAACACAATAGGAGTCTGTGGCTTAACCTAACCCTTGTGTTCAGTGTATACATTATGATTCAAGTATTTCAGGCAAATGATTTTCCGTTTAATTTGTTACCATATTTATTTTCTTAAGAGGTAACTCTAGCTCTTGTCCTGGTTTAATTGTGTATATTTTTATACATAGATATTGCAGTATGTTTACTGGATGCATGCATGGAACAAGTTATTCTCTTTGAAGATAAAAAGATTTTACTCATTTAAGGAGACAAATTAAATGCTGGTATGGAATACAATGCAAGTTAAAGGGTTTACCAGAACTCAAGAAGGACAGTATCCAATCTGATGAAAGACATAAATGATGTGCCCCACTACTCAGCCAAGAGTACTAGAGCTTCTTTGATTTCACAGGAGAGAGAGTTTTACAGAGTTTGTGCATTATGGAGCAAAATGTTATTTAGGTTTAGTTATGGTACCATTTGATGTAATTACCAAAATAACTAAAAAAAAAGTGGGATGAAGTCAGCAAGTCAGGTTTGTAACATTTCCAAAATGTAACTGGTGATTGATGCAAAGAACACAAAATGAGTTTCACTTGTACGATAAATTAGCAGCTTGGCCTCAGAATTTTGCACTATAAGGACATGTCTGTAAGATCCTTACGTAGGGTACTGCAGTTGGCCAGGTGTGATGATACAAATGCATGCATTTATGTTGCGAGTTCTAAAAAATATTGGTTATATTTTTCACCTGCAATAAGATTCGACTGTTAATGTGATAGATTTTATCAAGTTTGACGAAGACCTTGGTGAAGGTTAAACATTGCCCTGTAGCATTTTTGTGTTCCAGTAAAACCGACTCAATTGAACCTTGTGAGTGTCTGAAGCTTTTCTACTTTATACATAATCATACACTGTCACAACATAATCGCACAATTAAACACATATTTACATGTATACCAATACACACAGTAACACACAGACACAGTTACATAACATCACAGACACACAGTCACATGCACACAGTCAAATAAATCATACAGCTTTTCACATACATACAGTCACAAGTACTCACAAATAGTCACACACAGTCACACGCATACTGTCAATGTCACAGACAGCTCCCACCGCCCTCAGCTGGCACTCTACTGGAAAGAATGTTTTCTATATTTTAAAAATACTTTTCTCTTAATATCCATCATCCCACTGGCTGAGAGAACCACAGTATGTTGTTCTATCAAATGCCCTCTTTTAGGAAGAAAATAAATAAAATAGCACTCGTGATGCAATGCAAAAGAGATCTTTGCCATCACAGAAACAGATTCCTGATGCTTAAAGATTTATCCACTAAACACCAAATTTCAGTGATTTCATAACCAAATAGCAAAATGTAAGCAAATTTCGGACAAAAAATCTCCAGCTCAGTTGTTTTTACAAATTGTCAATTTCAGCCTAAATTTTACCATTTGATTTTAATAAACTACAATTCATTGTTTTGTGACTATACCCTTAAAAGTAAAGTTGATGACAGGAACCGCACTCATTCCCAACGGCTACGGGTGCCCTGGAGCAGGACCAGCAATCCCAACACGATAAAGACCTCTAGTCAGGTCGAAACGTTGCCTGTGAGTTTTTTTATTTGCCTATACCCTTTAAAGTGTCATTAACTAATTAATGATTGTAAGGAGAGAAAACTCAAGCCATCTAGATTTCTGGAATTTTCACCATAGCTATAACAGCAACTAGAACTAGTACGGATGTTCATGCAGAAGTATCCAGAACTCATTTTGCAGAAAGGCAAGTCTGGGCAAAAAGTCTACAATGTGTTCAAAAATATTATTATTATTGGCATTTATATAGCGCCAACAAATTCCAATATTATATGAGGGCGAGATTTAATAATAAATGAGACACTTATGAAAACTTACAAGAACAATAGGATGAGTTTAGTACCACGTTTTTAACATAAAAAACATTTTCCCCTTTCCTGGCCATATCCATGGCAGCACAAAAACGGGGAATACCCCAGCAATAATCATGGGAGGGAGAGAAAAAAAATCAGACACCAGAAGAAATCCAATGCAAAAAGTGTATTATCACAACAAACAACATGAGCATCAGTTCCAGGTAGGCATGAATGCAAGACACCTTAGCTGAAAGAACGCTTTTACCAAATTGGTCAAACTGACCAGCTTTGACATCTAACTGGTAATGTCTTATGAAGGTGTTAGCAGAGGACCAAGTTGCTGCTCTGCAGATTAGCTCTGGGGACGTTAGCCGCTGCTGCCCAGGAAGATGAAATGGATCTAGTGGAATGTGCCTTAAGACCCTCAGGTGCCCTTGAAGCCTGATAGGCATTCACAATTGCTGAGGTAATCCACCTGATAATTGTTGCTTTAGAGGCCATTGCACCTTTCCTGGCCCTGGCAGGTATCACAAAGAGTCTCCAAGGGGAAGTTCTGTTGAGGTAAGTCTGAAGACATCTGACTAGATCCAAAGAATAGAAAACTGAGGCTTCCTCCTCGGAGAGGGATTCTGAAAGAAAGGATGGAAGAACAATTTCCTCGCTAGTGAGGAAGGAGGAAGTTACTTTGGGTCGGAATTCTGGAACAGTGCGTAGAATAACCCTATCCTTGTGGAAGATAGTAAAAGGTTCCCCGGCAGACAGAGCATGAAGCTCTGAAACTCTTCTGCCTGATGTTAAGGCCACCAGTAGTGCCGTCTTTATGGAAAGTAGGTGAAGAGAAATGGACTCCAAAGGTTCAAACGGTTGAGTCTTTAATGCTTTCAGGACCAAGGGCAAATCCCATGGAGGACAAAAAGATTTCAATACCGCTGTGAGGAATCTAGTTACATCCATATCAAATGCCCACTCATGGTCCGTAAGGGCAGATAGAGCTGAAACATGGACCTTTAAGGTGTTGTAGCTTAATCCCTTGTCAATGCCCGATTGCAGAAAATCCAAAATATGCTTTGTAGAAGGCTTTTGAACATCAATACTTTTAGATAAAGCCCACAAGGAAAACACGTCCCAACCCTTATAGTAAGTCATAGATGTAGATCTTTTTCTTGCCTGCAGAAGAGTATTAATTACTGCTTGCTAGAAACCTTTATCTGCCAGTCTCATTTCCATGCCATCAGGTTGAGGGATGCTGGACTCGGATGGAGAATGGGAACTTGATGTAAAAGGTATGGGACTTTTGGCAGCTCTAGAGGAGGTTCCTTGCAAAGGTTCCTGAGGAGAGGGAACCACAGTCTGCGAGGCCAGAATGGAGCTATTAGGATAATGGAGGGTTTTTCTCTCCTTATTCTCCATAGAACAGGAAAGATGAGAGGAAATGGAGGGAACACATACCCCAGGCTGAAAAGCCATATGCACAATAGAGCGTCTCTTGCTAGAGCTTGGGGATCATTGGTTTGTGTGATGAACAGCTGGACCTTCCTGTTGGTTCCTTGTTGCCATGAGATCTATTTGGAGAAAACCCTATTTCTTCACAATGATCTGAAATACTTCGTCTGAAGGGCTCCATTTGCCAGGATGTATCTGCACTTTGCTGAGATAATCTGCAACTGAGTTTTGTATTCCCGGAAGGTGGACTGCTCTAAACCCTGCAAGGTGGGTCTGAGTCCAGGACATGAGTTGTCTCATAATTCTCATCATCTGATGACTCCTGGTTCCTCCCTGGTAATTGATGTAGGCAACCACTGCATCATTGTCTGGCCTCATCTTTACCCACTGGTATAAGGTCTGGGAGGAGAAGTGCTCCAATGTTTCCAGAACAGCCAGAAGTTCCAGGAGATTGGAAGGAGAATTGGTGGCTGCGAATCTCCATTTCCCTTGGGCAAAAGTGTCTTGATAATGGGCTCCCCAGCCCCAATGGCTGGCATCTGTCGTAATTACTTGCCATGTCACTTCTCCCAGAGGAAACCCTTTGGAAAGGGAGGGTTTGTGCAACCACCAGAGGAGAGACTGGTGAACAGCAGAGGGGATTTTGATGGGTTGTTGGGGATTCCCTGAAGAGAACTGGTGAAGGAAATTGGCCTGAAATATCCTCATCCTCCACTGAGGCCACCTTTTTAGGCCTATGGTGGATGAAATGGAACTCAGGAGACTCATGGCCTTCCTTGCTGGAGTCACTCTGGATGCCAACATCTCTTTTACTTTCTTTGTTAGTTTCGAAATTCTCTCTAGGGACAGCTGGGCCTTGCCTGTTTTGGTGTTGAATAGGTAAACCATGGTCTAGGAAGGAGACAGATGGCTCTTTGTAAAGTTGATCTTCTAACCATGTTTTTGTAGGAATTGTAGACATATCTGGCCGTTAACTTGTAAGGTTAGTTTGTCATCTGCCACGATTATAATATCGTCTAAATAATGGTAAATAGCGATACCCTGTTTCCTTATATCTGCAATCAGGATGACCAGAACTTTCGTAAATGTTCTTGGAGCTGCACATAGTCTGAAGGGGAGAGCCCGGAATTGGAAATGGCCCTTCTCTTTAGCAAATCTCAGAAATCTTGGATGAGGTGGCCCAATAGGAATATGAAAGTATGCGTCTAATAAATCTATAAACATTAACCATTGGCCTTGAAATACTTCTTTTATTATTGACTGGATAGATTTCATCTTGAATTATTGAATTTTCAAGTACAGATTCAGTCTGTGCAAATCCAGAATTGGACGCCAACCTCCTGAAGCTTTCTTGGTCAGGAATAGGTGAGAGTAGAACCCTTGGCATTCTTCTGACCTTGGAACTCACGATATAACTCCTTTTTTTTGAAGGGAGACAATTAATTCTTTCAAAGCTAGAATTTTGTCTGTGTCCCCGGCCCTTTTGTGTACTGGAAGGAATGTCGAGGAAGATTTTCGGCAAATTCTATGAGGGATCCACTTCGGATTATATCCAGTACCCATCTGTCCTTGGTGGATTCCTACCATGCCTCTTGGAATAGGAGCATCTGTCTTTGGTGGATTCCTACCATGAATCTTGGAACAGGAGCAAGTGGGACGTTAGCCGCTGCTGCCCAGAAATGGATCTATTGGAATGTGCCTTAAGACCCCCAGGTACCGGTACCCTTGAAGCCTGATAGGCATTGAGAGAACCCCCTCATAAGTTTCTTGTGCTTTTGGAAGTTGTAGTACCTCTTGATTTACCTCTTCTGTAACCTGAGCGGCCACTCCTCCAAGCTTGAGATCTACCGAATTCTTTCCTGGGTCTATATAATCTCTTGTCACGAAAGGAATAACCCTCAGAAGCTCTCCTGGAGCGGAAAGAAGACTTTGTTCTTTGATCCTGAGGCAAAAAGGCTTTTCTACCGTCTCCCACTCTCTTTATGCAATCATCCAATTTTCTATCAAAAGTGCATGTCAACATGGAAGGGAAGAGCAACAGACTATTCTTGTATGAAGGTTTGCAAACCATGGTCTAAGATAGAGCGATCTTCTAGCGATCACCAAAAACAACAGGTTCTTGAAAAAGGATCTAACTATATCTACTGCAGCTTCAGAGGAGAAACCCAGAACCAATTTCATATATTTAAGGCTATCTAAAATAGAAGATTTGTTTCTGCCATCTCTAATATCTTCTTCTAGATTATCCATCCATAGTTTCAAGCCTCTAGTAACTGAGGTCAGGGCTACGGCTGGGTGAAGGCCGGTACCTGCTGCCACATATGCCTTTAAGAGATTGCCATCCATTTTTCTGTCCATAGAATCTTTGAAAGAGCGTGCGTCATCCACCGGGAGAGAAGTATGCTTGGCCAGTCTGACTACCGCAGCGTCCACTTTGGGGGCTGAATCACAACTGACTGTCCTAACTGTGGATAGGATAGAGACGAGAAAATCTCGCATAGCAAATCTTTTCTCAGAGTTGGACCATTCCTCCTTGATTAGGCCCTTTATGGTGTCCTGGATGGGAAAGGAAGCTTTCTTTCTCCTGAGGTCTGAGAAGAAATGGCTGAAGGTAGAAGGTTCTTCTCCCTGAGTGTCTTTCAAAAAACTTTACGGACTCTAGAGATCAGGTGATCAACTTCCGCCGGGTTCAATGAACTCCGGGACAGGTTGTATTTATTCCTCAAAAGATGAAGCAACATCTCTGTAGGATGCAAATTCCATAGACTCATCAACTGAATCCTCTTTGGAAAAGTGAGGGTCTGGATACCTAGGCCTCTTACGGGACTGACAAGCATCTTTGATCCCTTGTGAGATGGCCTGCTTGACAAATATCATAATATCCAGAGCTGAATGAGATGGTCCTGCAGCTTGTGAAAGGCAATCTGCACAAAGGCGTTTTCCTTCCATCGCCCGTTTATTGCAGGCTTCACATTGTGTCCTTCTGGGCGAATTCCCTTTGGACGCTTGTGATTCTCTTCTCCCTATAGAACTGTCATAAAGGGGGAGGCATTAGTATGCACTCTTATTTATATGAAGATATATGGAACGATGTGCTAGCGAGAAAAAACATGGCTTACCTATATGCCTTAGACTGTGACCTATTATGTGTGGAGGAGTGCGACACTCTGAAGCGGGATCTGACTTTCTCCATCTTCAAGATATAAGTCAGAATTAGAATTTCAAACATGACATTCCAAAATAAAGGGAGAATATCTCCTTAACAAAGAAAACATACCTGGATCAAACCAAAAAACCAACAGCAGCAAAATAAACTGGAATCTCTATGCAGAACAACAGCTATTGATCCAAATGCCTGGGACAGTAATTCTTGATATTGGCACCTTTAAAAGGAGTTTACAGTGATGTTATGAATACGGGGGCTACATGCGCGCCTAAAGATTCGCGCATGCGCACAACACATGCAGTGATTTTGCAGCAAAGAAGTGAAAGGTTTTGCGTCAAAAGAAAACGAACACGCCCACGCAAACAGAACAGGTATAGTACTAGCGGGCACGCTTGTAACACAAACCTCTGTGAATGAACGCGCACTTGCGAACAAGACAGTCCACGCATGAGCAGTCCACAAGAAATACGAACTGATTGTGGACAAACAATAGAAATAATTTAAAAGTGTGAGAGCGGCGTTCCGATAGGAACGCTGATACCGGAAAGGATGCAGAGATTACAGAAATGAAATGAATAAAGAGGCAAGAGGGAATGAATAACGTAAATTAGACATAAGATGTATGATGCTCAAGAAAAGGATGTTATATATTTGAAATACCTTCTTTCTTCCTATGAGATTAATTCCAATACCTCCATGTTCGCCTGCTATATTACTACCCTTTGGGTCACTGCAATCCGATGGGCCAGGCCAATCTTGCTACCCCATTGGTTACTGCAAGTTTATAAGTCACTAAGGGGTGTTCTCCAGGGGGTCACCTTTGCGGAGGGCCGTGTACTGAAGACTTCCCAAGGGAGAGAGGCTGAACTCCCAAGGGACCAGGGGGTAATAATCCTCATGTAAGCTATAAAAAAAATGTTAGTCAAAATTGACCAAGTATGTCCTAGGGATAGGACCGGAACAAATGACAGCACAAATATGTCACCCGGATTTTTTGCTGTTTACAAGACTGAGGGGGAAGGGATGGGTGGGAGCATTTATACCCTTCTTTTAATTAGAAAGTTCCTGTCTATTTAGGGATAGGAGAAGCTACCCATTGTTGTGCTGCCATGGATATGGCCAGGAAATATATATATGGATATGTTATGGATATTCTTTGCAGTACACTGATAGGAAAATGTTCCTGCAATTTGGTTCACAGATGAACTGAGAAAAAAATAACCAACAGAGGGGGGAAAAAAAATCTCTCTATATTTATATATTATATATGTATTAAAATTATAATTATAATATACATATATATATATATCATCAAAATTAAAATTTGTGACTGTCCTCTTGCCATCAATCATCGTTGTTATCTATTAATCATCTCTTTTGGCACCATGGGCGGAATTTAGAATATTGATCCCCGAAACATGTTCAGCATTGCACAGTTCAGTTAATCCATTATTCGGGTATATTTAGGCTTGGAATTTGGAACAGCTGTTTTATAGAGGGAGTAGCAGTTTCTCACAACAATCATATGTTACTTGGTAAGAATAAATATAACATTTAATACAGTTTAATTTACAGTGATAAACCGCTATTATACACTTGATTAATATAGATACGTTTTTTTAACCTTCTTGGAATAACAAAGCTTAAATTGTGTACTACTTCATTAAACGGTACCTACATACCTATTAACTACCCGAGATAAACAGCTACAGTATAAGGTATTCATAAGAAAAAGGCTCTGTGGACAATTGCAGGGATTATCTGACATTAGAAGCAGTAAGACTGTGTAATCATGGACTTGTTTGGAGCTGAAAAATAATCATGATTGGTTTTATTATTCCATAAACGTCAGGGAAATACCTGGCTTAAATATTAAGTGGATTTTCTGTAAGGCATCCATAATTGGCCAATTTAAATGGGAACAGGGGACATAAGACAAATATATTCTGCAGAGCCAGAAAGTGCATTTTTCTTAGTACTGATTATTGTAGGAACTCTGATCCTATTCTCCAAGGATTTGGGCAGCCTAGGTTTGCTCGGCAGTGCTGTCTGCATTTTTCCTTGGGTGTGGTGCACAATTTAAACTTCAAACCCATTTTATTTCATAGGAAAGCACTATCCACTCTTTTGGCACTAAAAAGGGTTAACTGCTGATGGATCAGACCTAATAAAAAACTGATGTTATAAAATTGAACCAGGATTATGGAATATGTAGGTGCTTTATAAATTAATTTATTATCAGTAGAACGTAAGCCCCTTTGGGCAGAGCCTCATCAACTCTTGCTCCTGTATTTCACCCACCCCCACACAGTAAACAACTTTGTGGAATATGGTGACATTTTATAAATACATTATTAATATAAATAGTGACCTAATTTAAGAGCGAGTGTCCAGGCATACTGTAAGATTTGTACTAGATGTCTGTTTCACTACATCAGCAGAGTATTTATTTTTTTAATATCTCCAAGCAACACTCATGAGTATTGAAATGTTGTTGCTCTTTTTATTTGGCATAATAAAGGTCTACTAAATACCCTACAGTGTGTCTTTAGCACTCTCTTATTGGAATATCTCAGGCAGGATGAGGGCCAAACAGCACATGAGATTAGGCAGGACTCTGTATAGCAGTTGAGCATGTCAACATATCATATTATGGATCTGTTATTCCCAGGCAACCTGGAGGCCACAGGATAGATACCGTGGGTTACATCTGGCCCTTGGGCTTATGTTTAGATAGTTTTGTGTGTATACTGTACTGGCCACGAATGGGTTCCTGCTGCTTGTAATAGTGATGTTATTGTACATGTAAGTGATAGTCTGAACTGGATATGGAGAATTATTGTTTACCTTGAAACCTTTGCAGCTAAGTCTAGACAGATGACCTAGCTGGCTTAATATTCTGGAGTGAATGAAATTGAAAACACAGATGGTTTGTATAAAAAATAAAATATTTTATTTTTCATCTAGAAAAGTGCAAACATGTACCATTTGGTCACACGTCGAAACACACAACGAAACTGTTGAATAACAGAAATAGTCATAGTCAAAGAAAGAAACAAATGCTCGGGACAAATCTTTTGATCAGTTCCAGAATATCAATCTCTTGATTATTTGAAAGTGTTTAACTCTCTGAAAGCCTTACAAATTGGAGTTAGGGAGAGCCATAAATAATTGCTCTTCCTTGGCTCTCAAACAGTTAAAATTCAGGTAATACAATGTTTCCAGTGCAATCAATACAGCCTAGCTACTCATAACATATGGAACAATATGGAGTTGCTTGAAATGCCTTTTTCTGTAACTGAGCACTATTTCCACATGAGATTCTGTTTCATGCTTTGAACGGTTTCTCAAATAAGCATTTAAACTTACTGCGAACCAAACAATAATAATAATAATAATAACAACAATAATAAAAACAGGGTAACATCAAAATATTAAAGCATTATAAAAATGAAAAAAAAAAACATTGACAAAACAAAATTAAGTTAATTTATATAACTGTACAAAAATGTATATACACTATGTACAATACCAATAAAAAGTAAGGTTGCAGCATGCAAAAAAGACACACTGCAAACTTTCCAGTCTTGTAACAGACACATTTTTGATTCCACCCAATAAGTGTACTTTGGGGTTACTAAAACAGAATTGTATTCAATTGTAATTCTCTTTAGAACCTTAAAGTAGCCAGGGTATGAACTCCAGCTTTCACTGACTTATTGTCAGTTCATCATATAGTGAATATAAAAATATAACTTTTTTTTCCAGTTGCATGTCTGGGTGCAACATACATCACCATACTCAGTGAATGCTGCCTAAGTGCAGTGTTATTGTGCGTACGATGACGATATATTACACCCAGCATAGCTGCGGTGGCCTGGTTCGTCTCCCTTTCTTCAAACCAACGGCTGGGGTCATTCAATGGTTAAGTCTTTCCTTTAAACAATCTTAAATACGTTCTTGTGCTATAAAATTATGTTTATGAGTTGCAAAGTCATTTCAAGTTCAAGAGTCTTTAAATTGTGGTGGTTTTGTTGCTCTATGCCATGTCTCCATACATTTTTCTGTAGTACATGGACTCGAAGATGTCATTGTCCCCTGGACAGTTGTAGTGGCATGCACAGGTCTTGATGAACATCATCTTCTTCTTCATGACCTCACCATCAGGACACTTGAACTCTACTGGAAGAGTGGCTGTTCTGTGGGGAGTGCAGCAACGGCCATCGGTACAAACCCCACAAAACTTGGCCCTGTAGGTTTTTACACTGGTGCAACCGGAAAGCTCGAATTTGATTGGTTTAGAGATCTTAGGAGTACGGATGCACTTTTTCCCTTTCTGTAAAAGTAGAAAAGAATACAAGTTATTTCTTTATTCCATTAAAAAGTTGGGAGTGTTTTTTTTTAAATATAAAGTTCAATTCTTTGCCAAAGTGCTAAAAGTATATTTATGCTGATTGGTCTATGTGGTGCTTTCTTTGATTCTAACCAGTTTAGCTGTGGCCTTTGAGCACTTTCTCTATTCCAATTATACATTTTACTCTAGATAATGTACTTAAAGGGTACCTGTCATACCCCAAACAACTCATTAGAATAAAAATATGATTTTATCTATACATTTGCTAGCTGTTTTGCTAGTAAATGTATAGATTAGGTAGGAGAAAAAACCCAATATAAAATAGGTTTTCCTCCCTGCTGTCAGTTAATGCCTCTGAGTATCTGACAATGGAGAGCAGAAAAGACCTACCATAGGAGGTGTCTTTTCTCTCCTCCCATAGCAACCACAGCAGATGCAAGTAAGTTTAACAAATTATCACTATGTTCTTACATTTTTTCTTGGCCCTAAATATATGAAATAATTACATGCCTCCTTGCATAACAGCAAACTATTTAATTATTCCAACAATAGCAGAAAATGATTAATAATAAATGGCTGATGCATTTTTCTTGCACAAATTTAAATTGGCAAATGGTGGATTAAAAAAAAAAATCTGGCCATGACATTAGTTACATTTTTAAACTCTACTATTAATGATGGTAAGTCCAATATGTACATCTATTTACCTTGATATTTTCCTCCAGATCGGCCTCACAAGGTCTAACCATGCAGAGTCTGCTCTGTTTTTCCAGTCTGCAGTGCTCATTGTCATTAGTAACTCTTGTTGAGATTCCCATGCCGCATGTCTTTGAGCAGGCACTCCATTCAGTAGTCTGCACCAAACAGTTGGCACGGATAAGAGAAGGGTCAGGACCATAGGTTTCTTCCATTCTGAAAGCTATAACAGAAAAATAAACAGAACATTAGATCTAAAATATAAAATAATGACGAGACAAATGTATAAAGGTTCCAACTATTCCTCTCAATGTCAGGGAACAGTGCCACTAGATAGAATATGTGATAGACAAAGGGTTAATTATTGCCTCAACTCTAAAATGCCTAATAAAACAGCTCTGCATTATCAGCTGTGAATGTCACCATACATTTGCAGTATTATGTGATATTTTACTATATAGATCAATTATTATTAATTTTTGTAGTTCCCATAAAGCTTACTTTTTGGCTATTTTTTTTTTTTTTAAATAACAACATATGGAATTCTGAGATTTAAACCAGAACTTACCAGGCAGAGCAGGTCCGACCATGGTTCTCTCCATAGGCTGATCACAGACCCATTCTTCACAGCACTTGCCAGGGAGTTTCACTCTTCGTGGCAAGGGGCAGTCGGGGCTGGGCAGACGGATATCAATACTGCAGAGTGGCACACATCCTACACCACCATCTAGACAAGTGCACTGGTATTTGCAGCTGCTCTGAAAAGATTCTCCACTTCTGTACACAGTTCCTCCAAATACACAGGGTGCTCCTTCTTTTGCTAAAGATACAGAAACAAAATATACCATTAGACTCATGAGCAAAGATTATCTGTATCTAGCAGTGCTATTATTGAAATGTTATTACTGCTGTGCCCAATTATAATTTTCCGAGAGAGAGAGAGAGTGACCAGATGTTATATATTCTATTTTAACATAGCTAGTATTCTAGAGTAATTTATTAACCTGTTCTCTTCCCTGGAAGAATATAAACTGTAAAATTGGTTTAGCTAGGAAGGAGATTTGGGCACAAACTTACCAGTGCACACTCCGATTTTCCTGTTGACCCTGGATCCAAAGTCACAGAAGAGTCCTTTGTGTGGGTCACAGACATCCTTCTCAGTGCACAGCTCACCCAGCTGCTTGGCGCACACTTTGCAGCATCCACAGCCATCTTGTACCAGGCTGACTCCAGGATCACACTCAGGGACCCTCTGTGGGCACTGACATTCCCCACTGCATTCCTGGGCATCGGACACCTGCAATGCAGAGAAAAGGTACAGTCAGAAAATGAAATGCTTTTATAGATTTACCACTCATGCCACCCTCAGCCTGCTCATAGCATTCCATAACCCTCTTTACAAAAGCACATCTAATAATTAAAGTGTTATGGCTAGCTCAAGTCCCAAGTTTACATGGGCAATGCATTGTGTATCACTAAAACACATGTTCTAGCATAACATACTAGTTTTTAAACAAATGACTAAAAGTAATAGAAATGCCGTTTTTATAGTTACCATCCCTCACCACATAAAGAGCCCAGTCTAGCACCCTACAGCCATGCTTAATGTATGTCCTCACTAAACGTCTTAAAAGAAGCACCTCCAAATAGTTACAATGTGCATATAGTACAGAAGTAGAACTTACCCAGCAGATTAAAGCAAAAAGGATCACAGCCGTCACTTTTCCTGCAGACATTGTTAAGCTTTCCTTAAAAGAAATAAAAAAGAATTTCTTTTGTCTTTCTGTCTCTAGATCTTAAGGTGATCTTCGGTCTTGAAGTTTCTTTAGCTCGCTGTCGTGTTGTTTCTCAGTTTTAGCTCAGAGTCTGAAGCCTCTTCCTTTACCCAGTACTTGTTTCAGAGTTCGATTCCAGTCTTGGGTTGTTGAAGAGTTGTTGTGTGAGGAATGGTAGGCGATGCTGCTCTTTATATATCCTGCTGGCTGCTGAGTCTCGCCAATGAGCTGAATGGAGTCCTACACAAGCAAGGACATTCCAAACATTCCTGCAAACCTTCCTGCTTCATCAGATCACACCGGATTGATCCTGACCCCTTGACACTCCGCATTCCTCCTGTCTGAAAAAAACTGGCACACTCCACAGTACAAAAAGGCGCTGTATCCTTACCACCAAATAGGATTTTCTCCTTATTTTATTATTTCCATTCTGGGTTGCTTTTTTTTTTTTATAATTGTACGTGAAAAGCAGGTTTGAGGCTTGTTTTGTATGGCTAGCCCCTGTTCCAGACTGCTTCACCATACTGCTTTTTATGTTTCAATAATCGTGTTAACACACCTCACAGTGAGATGTAACCACAATGTCTGACAAATATGTAATTTCTGCCTTGTTTCTCAAGCAGGCTGTATTGGGGGGACATTGGTAAAACGCTGCATGTCTATTCATTACACATTGCAACCTTTATTGTCTACGTATGTGCTGAGAAGATACATTTAAATACACCCCACGCACAAACACACACATATATAGTTTAAAACTTTACTGTATATATTTGAAATGTGTGTGTGTGTGTGCATATACATGCATACATACAGTGTATAATGTACTGTAAAACACATATAAACAGTGTATCGTGTGGTGGGGTTATTCACTAAAGTGTAAATTCAAAGTGAATTTTAAATTTAAGGGTAAAATTCTCTGTCAGCTATGCCTTCAGGGCAGCTACCAGGCTAAATAACCCTTTCAAAGGTTCCCCTGGTATCTTTGAAACCTTGTGCATTGTAAGTGGCAATATTCTAATAAATGTTTGAAATACACATATGTGTGTTAGAATGTGTATATGTAGGCATTTTTACAGATAAACTAAACCATCTTTGTGATGAGGATTAAATATAACATGTGCACACGTATTAAGTTTAAGGTATTATTTAATGATTTTAATATTGTCTATTTTTCAACTTATAGTAATTTAAAGTCTATAAATATTTTAAAACAAATGCTTCATATAAGCAGTATTTAAAAAAGATAGGGTTAAGGCAATTTTATGCCTTTTGTTTTCACACAAATCTTTCCAGCACTGCAGTGGTTAAGAATCTCCTCTCATACTTTTCTATAAATATAGGAGCATGATACTGTGTGTTTGAAGGGGAATTTTTCTGAGAATTCTTAGCAGCTTTGCTAATATCTGCTAATAGATATGATGTCATCCCCTAGGCTGAATCATTAAGGTCACAGAGGGATGTCCCTTTTGTATTGCTGTAGGTCATGCATTGCTGATAACCAGCTGGTCTGAAGCTGAATGGAGGGGACATTGTTTGCATACTCAGAGAGCACATCAGACTGTGGGTCTCAGCTATTTTTCTTTACATTAGATTACGCAGTCATTCTACGTATTATACTTTTTCCTGATAAAATATAATAGTTGCCGGGAAGTTTTAGTGGCATTAAATTTAGTAGACTGTCAATTGTCCACTGTCAATTGATCTTTTTGTTCTCAAAGATCAGTATCCTATTAGCTGCCCATGCAGATGTACAGGATTGTCATTTATATACGTTATATATTTACAGTTCACGCATAGGTTAAATTGCTGGTATTTGAAGAATACCGCTAGGGGAATCCACTTCTTGAAACACCCTGCTTCGCCACCAAAGGGCGTAATGTATGTTATGTAAAGGCATCTATCTGGCAGTAATTATTGCGTGATCATACTTACATATGGAATATATAACTGCAATTCAGCTAACATTTTTGGCCATGCTTTTGGAGAAATGTATTGGAGCATGTTTTTGATATTTTTTTTTCTTTCCGTTCATTGGAAAGAATGTCTGGGTGTGTCGGTCTAGAAACATTTTTTTGTTTTACTTTCATGTTTAAATTACATAGGAAAGCACTGGTACAAATCCAACTTTCAAACGTTTAAGGGGTTCCTTCACCAAACAGTGCACTTACAACCGATTTACAAAATGTAAGCCCCAAAAAGTAGAGAAAAACAAATCACCCAAGTAGGTTGGAAGCTTATTACAATTCACAGTTTAGTGAATTAACCCTTAGAGTTCAACAGGGACATGTTAAGAGATACTATGTGCTAATCCTAACTTTCATGCAGGTTTATATAATGAATTCCTTTAGCAGCCCATATTTTTCTGGTAAAATGAGGAATTTCGCTAACTTGGCAGCCAACTCTAGTTTACACAGCTATATACAGTACGTTTACATCTGCCTCAATCGCAGCAGTCAGTTTAGTTGAGTCTTGTAAAATGTACAGGTGGAGATACACTGCATTCCTTCCCTTTCAGTTTGTTTCCCTGATTTTTCCAAGTCATTTGATCAGGTATCAGACATACTGTACCGAAAACTGGACAAACTACAGGAAAGTGGCTAGACGTGGAGTGTTTGTGTACTTAAAGAAAGAATCTTGCACATTTTCAGCTTTCAGTTACAGACATTTTCTTATTAGAGCAATTGATGGTCTGTGCCAGCCCTCAAAACGGAAATCAAACGCTCCCAGAGAAAAATACCTAAGGAATGTTGACTTCAGCCAAAGCTGTACGCAATGCTCAGACAGAGGAAGTCTGGCCCTATATGGAGACTTGCACACTGTGCTATATATCTCTGTGATAGCCCAAATACTTGCTGAAGTTGATGCTATTTCTAGCTCTCTTAAAGTTTTTACAAATGTCTAGATGAACATTATGTGCTTTATTCCAGGATTCCCATTAAACTAACAGTAGTCTTTTTCCGCAGTGTTCTAGTTTCAGGTCCCTTTTATACAGTCCTACATAAATGAGCATTTTGTACTCTGGTTTTATCTTTCTAGATAGACAGTAATGGTTTACATAAGTACATAGCTGAAAAGAGACATGCGTCCGTCAAGTTCAGCCTTTCTCCCATTTGTTTTTGGTGTTGATTTAACCCCTTAAGGACCAAACTGCTGAAATAAAAGGGAATTATGACATGTCACACATGTCATGTGTCCTTAAGGGGTTAAAGTGCAAGTGGTTCTAATGATGCAATATGTACAGTAGGTCCTTTATGTAAACCAAAACATCTGATCTGATATAATAAAAGCAGCCCTCAGTATAATGCCCTTACCAGCAGAACTGCCTTCAATCATGGCATCTAAGAATCTGAGCAAGTGGGTTGGTTTTGAGTGTTATAGTGACTGGCTCTGATGTCACTAAAACAAATTGGGGGTTGAACTGTGACCCAAGCCAACATCATGATTTTTAAGGTGTCTTACTGAAGGTGGAATTTAAGAATGTGTCATTTATCAACTCATATCTTTTTAACATATAATTAAAAGACAGGTCCTATAGTCCTATTCTAGATTCATAATCATAAATTTATGCTTTCTATGACCCAGAATTAGAACCGTACTGACCGTTGAGCTAACTGGTATTAATGGTTACAGTCTAAGGGCTAGTGAATTTAGGAAATCTTCCCAATTGACCATGTAAAATTATATATAATTTATATATAAATTTATATTTTTTTATTTCTGCCCTGTGATTGCCATGATATGTGGGACCTATAGAAGTCAATGATGCTTCTTGTGTGGTCCTTTATTAATTCACATATCATGGCCATCACAGGAGAAAAAATTGATCCTTCAAGCTATCGTCAAGGAAAGGTAGGGTAGGGGGGGATTAGAGTCCTACTGGGACCAGGTTGGTAAAAACTATGTATATTTTTGGTCCCAACTGACCCTGTTCATTGCCTATAGAACCTAGGAATATACAAAAAAAGGGTGAACAGCGCTAAAATAAACCAATACTATAAATAGGGAATGTAGGATGCAGCAAACTTAAAAATAAAGTTCCCTCTAGGCCCTATAGACAAAGGTAATACACAAGACAAGACAAATAAGGTTGAGCCAAAGCTAAATATAGTACAGCTGATATGAACAAAGTCCAGAATTTAGGTGGTACCAAAACAAAGTCTTTAGTTGAGCTTGATGGGGCTACTTTTCCTAGTAGTAAGTGCCTGTTTGTTATAAGTCCAAACATAAGGCTTAAATTCTCAAAACGATGCTGAATGTGCTCAGAATGGAATTAATATAATAACTTAGCTAGAGGGCTTCATTTATGTAACAGAATGTACTTGTAAAAATGGTAAATATACAATCAAGTTATACCATAATACATATTTATTTAAACATTACATATAATATAATATTTCATATGCCAAAGATATATATCTCACTACTGACAAGTTGTGGACAACTTCTTGGGATTGGGACATACTCTGTTGTATTTATTAAATGTTTCAGCCTGGCTGTATATATTTTCTTCTGGGGCCCTTTAATGGTGAGTTCTAGGACCTTAATGCAAAAGACTTGCACTTGAGTAACTTTTAAATAGATTAACAGAAAAAGAAAAAGTCCCGTTGTGCTGGTTATTATCAACTGAGACGCTCAGTTTTTAGACATTATGTCATATAGCCATTCTTTGCATACTAATGTATATGAAGTCGCTAGTTTGTTTAAGATACATATTGCATAGAGTCATATGTATATTTAATAAAGAGGTACTAAATATATCTAATTAAAACTATTTAGCATGTATGACAATTGTATTAGCGGTGGTATTAATTGGTATACATTGTATGGTTTTTGTTTATTATATTTACTTACTAAATGAAAGTGCAAAATGTATATCATGGATACCAAATTTATAGGATGGCCAAGGGTCCACCTTTCACCTACAATATACTTATCTAAGGAAGATTTTGCTGTACCTGACCCTACTGTGGAAGTTTCAATGAGGCCAAATAAATTCAGAAAACCAAGTTGGAAACATAAAAGAAGCCAGTAAGGATCAAATGTTTCCATTCAATTTTTGTGAATGGCAGTCTACCTGTGTGAGTTGTGGTGGTACCTATTCCCATACATTGCTGGCAGCAGTCGTTCTGTTTAATTGTCCAATACCTTTGCCCGTAGCTTTCAGGAAGTAACAAAGGCTTCACTGTTATATTGTAAGACCTCAAAACCTTTACTCATTTTCCAGTATGTCTAATTTTTTGAACTTCCAACCAATTATGTTTATAATGTGGCAATGTATTTAACTATCAGTTAAAATACCTGGCTGTTTATTCCGTGTTCTAGTCTACTTCTGATTCAAAGAATGTCATAAGCCACAGAAACATATTTGGTTTTAAAAGTTGGAATTCAAAACCAATCCCTCTCGACCCAAGGAATGTTTGCCCATGTACTGTTTACTAGAGTCAGGTTTGTTTTATATTTTACCAGTCAAACGTTTCTCTTATTCCATATTTATATAAACAAAAATGATCCTAGGCTATGATGGTGTATATTTCTAAAAACTTTTAATAAACACAGAGTTGAATACTAACAGTTTTGGATACTTTATATATACGTGTAATGCATGTGTGGCCTACTATCACCTCTTTATTATTCAAGGCAAATATTACTTCTTGTTTCATAAAATGTTCTACAGCATTCTGCTTAAGATAATAAAACTCAAAAAATCTGTAGAATCCTATTGAGCAAACTGATCAAAATCAAAATACAACAAAAAACAAAACAAAAGTCATGTCTTGCTTAAATTAAAGTGTAAAAACATGGTATGCATTTTAGGCACTAATCACACAAGGATAATAAACATTCACTGATCCATTATTCCACTTTTGTATTTCCCAGACAGTTGCAGCACTATGAATTCACAGCTGGAATGGCTAGGTCAGACTTTGGAATGTTGGGAAAAAAATGGCTTGTGTTTAAAATGATATGATGCTACAATCGGTGACGCAAATAAGGGAACTTAGTCTCATAATGCATAGTTGAGGCTATCCTAAGTTTCGTTTCCCTATTTACCTTCAGATATCTGAGAAAAGTAACAACTATGGGGTTGCTCTACAAACTGTCATGCGGTTATATTATTTTTACGACTTGTTGAGAAATACTTCCTGTCAGACCATTTTTTTGACACAGGGATGAGAAACGTAGTATGACAACCATATTTATCTTGACTTGTATCAACCTGGGGATTCCCTGCAGATTTTTTTTTTTTTTTTATATCCTATATGTACTGTAGCCAATAATTTAACTCCTTTACTAGAAAATATGTTACAAAAACACTGAAATTGATTACTGATGAAAAGTTTTGCAAAATGATTGTCAACACATCACAATGCACTGTTTAGAGAACACATACAAAACTAAGATTAGCATATGTTGTCAACTGTTTTTCTCATAAATCTCCCCCATTCTCCCAGATCACTGAGAGGGGTTTTATTCAACTGCTGTTATAGGGGGTTATTACATAGATATGTTAGTTCATTTAACATTAAGTATATTAACTACTATAATTACACAATATGATATTTAAAGCAGTATTTAAAATGCTTATTTTACCACATATTACCTAAAATAATTTTAGACTAAAACGTACTTTTTGTATCTGCAAAAATGAAAAATACTGTATTTAAGGTAATTCTTGTAATATAATTGTATCCATATCCTTTTTAATATGTATACATATTATATAGTTATATAGAGTATATAGTTATATACTAAGTATGCCACTAGAGGGAGTGCATGATTTTCAAGGTCTTGTGCAGAGGAGTGAAAGCCAGACTGCTTGCTATCAGGTAAACAAGTTTGTCTGGGAAAAGCTGAAAGAGTCTGTATACCTTGCATTTTTTTGCTTTGGGATGTATTAATAATTTAAGACTGTTTACTCAATCTGTTAAAAGCATGTGAAAGTAAGGACCATATAAAATGTGTATACTGCTGAGTTATGCATAGTGTGTAGGGTAGGTTGTTCTTCAGGCATGTTCTACATACAGATTATGAGCACATATTTGGAGTTCTCAGTTAGGACTTCAATCAGTTTCATGCCACCCACATCAAAAGAGCAGAGCACATCAAAAGACCTGAGATCAAGTTTAGTGAAGACCAACGGTTTCCTCTCTCCAGATTAAACATTTTGTACAATATTGCTAAAAGCATTAATTCAGTATTTGGTTACTAAATTGTACACTATTACTTTGTCCCTTATATAAGAAACGTAAAGGGTCACTCTAAAACATCTAAAATTATCTTCTTTTTTTTTCTTTTTACCTGATAGCTAATATACTTCATTGCATTTAGGAGCAACATTATGTTTTAAAGTATAACTGATTTTTAAAACTTGACAATATTTAAAAGCTAGTTGTCAGTTAATTTGTTTGGTAATAAGCTGTGCAGAACAGTAAACATCCTTCAAAGAATTGTAATTTGTATTTGCCTGCAGAGCATGCATTGTTAAACAGAACCATGCTGAAAATATGTTTAACTCACTTAAAGTGAGACACACGCAGCAATATCAGACTAACACTGATGTTGCTATCTCATGGAAGCACCTCTAGTGGCTGTAGTCATATTGACAGCCACCAGAAGCAGGTTAACTCTACCAGAGTTGATCCTAGGGTCACAGATGCCTGCTTGAAGAAATATTTTTTGGGCCGCCAACAGGTGGGCGCAGTCATCCAACCCCTCCCCTTGGAAAATGTCCAGTCCAGATATGCATGATTCTTTGGCATTGATCCCACCTCTTCATCTATATGCCCCACCCTTATTTGTAATCAGAAACACACTCACTTACCGATAGTCACACACTCTCACTGACAGACACATACACTCACTGCTATGACGCACATTAACAGACACACTGACACACACTCTCAATAACAGACACACAATCTCAGTGATTTGAAACACACACAGACAGACACACTCACCGACAGATACAAACACTGGCAGACACAAAACACTCACTGACAGACAAACACACACACACACACAGACTCACTGACAGTAAAACACTATTAAACACTCTTAAATACACTCATGGACAGACCCACACATACACACTGACAGGCACACTTACTGACCAACACACTGACACGTACTTTCAGTGACAGACCCACTGATACACACTCTCAGTGAGGACACAAACACACACTCACTGACAGACACACTGAGACACACTCTCAATGATTTGAAACACATTTACTGGCAGACACACAATCACTGACAGACACACTGACACACACTCTCAATGATTTTAAAAAACACTCACTAACAGACACACTTACTGACAGACACACTCACTAACAGACACACACACACTCTGACAAACACGCTCACACATTCTTGCACACACTCACAAATTAATTTTATTTCTTGTTTTTTATTTTAGTTTTTTAGGCCCATCCAGCCTCCCTACCTTTAGGAAAGCTGGTGTGGGTCCTGTTCCTGGAATTCAATGGGGGTATTCTCATGTAATGTCCCAGTTCCTCACTGCTTACTTGCACTGTTTAGTGAGACAGGGGTGGAGTAATATCATACTCTAGCTCCCGGCATCATACTCTAGCTCCCGGCATCACAGAAGGAGCTGTGAGGAACTGGAAGCCATTGGCGGATCCAGGGGGGGTGGGGGGGCAACGGGGTCATTGCCCCCACAGAGATTCTCCCCTGCCGGCTAATGCAGGGCTGGCATTGTCCAAGTGCCAGCCGTGCTATGTGCCTGCAGACCGGGGAGGGAGAGAGAACCTGCTGACAGCCGGCAGGGGAGGGAGAGAGGACCCGGGAACTCTTACCAGCAGCTCCTCCGGGTCCTCCTCTTGCGAGATTTGGAGCTTTGCCGCGGTTACCACGGCAACGCTCCAAATCTCGCGAGAGTGAAGTCTAGCTGGGGAGTGCGGCTAGACTTCACTCCACACTGGACCACCAGGGACTCACCACGGGCGGAGAAATGTCCCCCCTCCTCCTCAACAAAGGTAAGACGGGAGGGGGGACAGCCATATATTTTATTAAATACTTAAAAAAAAAAAAAGCCTTCATACCCTCCTTCCTCTCCCACACACACATACACTGCCCCCCACACACACACATACACTGCCCCCCACACATGCTTACACTGCCCCCCATACACACATACACTGCCTCCCCACACACGTGAGACACTGCCCCCTATACACACGTGACGCACTGCCCCCATACACACGCATTATCTGTCCCCACACATATGTACACTGCCCCCACACACACACATACACACTGCCCCCCACACACATACACTGCCCCCACACATGCATACACTGCCCCTATACACACATACACTGCCTCCTACACATACACTGCCCCCACACACATACACTGCCCCACACACTCATACACACTGCACCCTCCACATGGCATAAACTGCCCCCCACACACACATACACTGCCCCACACACACACATACACACTGCCCCTACACACACGTAACTGCCCCCTATACACACACACACTGCCCCCCTATACACATCGCATTTGACACTGCCCCCATACACACACGACACTGTCCCCTACATACACTGCCCCCACACACACACACCTACACATACACTGCCTCACACACATACACTGCTCCCTCAATGCACTGCCCCTCTATGCACACGCATACTGCCCCCCATACAAACATACACTGCCCCCCCACACACACATACACTGCCCCCCATACACACATACACTGTCCCCGATACACACACTGCCCACCCATACACACACTGCCCACCCATACACACACTGCCCCACAAACACTGCACATCCATACACACAGACACATACAGTGGCCTACACACACTGCTGCCCCCCATATATACAGTGCCCCCATACATAAAGTGCCCTCCCCATACACACACTGCCCCACACAGACATACAGTGCCCCCATACACACACACTGCCCCACACACACTGCCCTCTAACACACACTGCAACCCTGACATACACTGCCGCTTTCACGCACTCACACACACACACTTCACCGCTCACACACACTGCACCTCTAACACACACCGCTGCTCCTATGCCCTATATCCCAGCAGACCCCAGGTAAGTTGTCAAACTGTTCTTAAACGGTATGACTACTTACTCTGGGGTGAGATCCTGGCACTACTGGCACCATAACTACTACACTGAGCTGTAGTGGTTATTGTGCCAGGATTATTTATTTAAATAATCTACAAGTGCCCCTCCCGAGATCAGGCTCTGGATCCACCACTGCTGGAAGCACATCAGTGCTCCCTTACCTCTGCTGCCGCCTGCTTCCTTTCTCCCCCTTTACTTTGGCAGAGTTGGCAGAATAAGTGCCATTTTGGGGGTGCCCTAAGATGGAACCCCAAGTTTTGGACAGGACATGGCCCGCTTCTTGTGGACCCTACCTTCTGGCCCCTGGATGTGGTGTATTCATCTTAATTGAGATGAAGGGGCTTGGGTGCCTATGGTTTTCCTTTAAAGTCAATTTGTCTACATATAAGTGCCCTGATGATAACTATCTTAGAATCTTAGGGACAAGCAGCTTAGTTGGCTATGGTGGACAACAGGCATAGTCTCACCACAAGAACTAGCCAGGCAGGAAGAAACCACTAGAATGAAAGACATCTTCAGAAAATTAAAGGAATAAATGAGTGGGTTATTGATGGCCAGATCACCCTTTCCACCATTTTATTGTTTGACAAATCACCTTTTTTTAAATTAAATGACTCCTGTTGCTGCTGATCCTTATTTTTTTTAGTGGTTTTGCCCTGCCTGGCTGAGTCTTGTGGTGTGGTTTCTCCTGCCACCTCCGCAGTGCAGTTGGTAGAAGCTAATAGGGCACTGTGTTTTTTTCATGCTTAAGGAAGCTCACTCACACTACTGACTTGAAGGACCACTATAGTGCCATGAAAACATACTCATTTTCCTGGCATTATAGTGCCCTGAGGGTGCCCCCACCCTCAGGGTCTCCCTCCCGCGGGCTCTAGGAGGTGGGCTCCAGCGCCGGGCGGGGGACTTTCCCCCTCCTCCCCGCCACCTCTCCTCCTCCTCGGCTGAATGCGCATGCGCGGCACGAGCCGCATGCGCATTCAGCCAGTCTCATAGGAAAGCATTCCAATGCTTTCCTATGGACGCCGGCGTCTACTTGCTGTGAAAATCACAGTGAGAAGTGCGGAAGCGCCTCTAGCGGCTGTCAATGAGACAGCCATTTGAGGCTGGATTAACCCATTTATAAACATAGCAGTTTCTCTGAAACTGCTATTTTTATAGAAAAAAAGGTTAAACCTAGCTGGACCTGGCACCCAGACCACTTCATTAAGCTGAAGTGGTCTGGGTGCCTATAGTGGTCCTTTAATGTATGTTAAGACCTAGTTATTTTCAGGGTGGATTGGGTGAGCGGATTGTTAATTGCCTACTGATTTTTTCCTTTAACCTTTTGAAAACTCCCCTTTCTTTAAATTAAAATGTAATTCTGGTGCTGCTCATCCCCCTATTTTTTATGAATAAAAGCTCGCAAAAGGAATACAGCCATTATCAAACTATTTTTTTCTTGCCCTTTTGGCTTGTCTAAATCTTTTCTCTGAATATTTTGCTTGGACGATATTTAGACGGATCAACCCAACAACCTCCTTCTAAACAAATTCACACCATCTCAGCTAAAAAAAAATTTCAGCCAAATCGATTTGTCCGAATTTTGCTGCTTGTTAATCCACTACAATAACTAATTAGTGAATACACATCGGCAAACATTTATTTAACCAGCAGTCCATTTAGTCTTCAATATAGGATGATTTATTTAAAATTTAATTGTATAAGGAAAGGATTATGTCAACTGAACCATAGTTGATCAGAAAAAGTACATCACGGCCATACTTGTTCAGGGCCAAGATAAATGGCTCTGATAAACTGTACTCCAGTGCTTTTTACTATTTTTTTTTGTGGCCATCTAATGTAATCAGTGCACAGTCATCTTCTAAAAAAAGAAATTATGTCCACATGTGGGTAGTCATTCTTTGTTTACTCTGTAGGCATAGTCATTTGGAAACAGTTGCTACCTAGCCTGACGCTTATATGTCAACTGGGACATTAATGGCCTATTCTTATAGAAGCAGAAACTGTATAGCATTGAAACAACTCGTTGAGATTTTATTTTTAGTGTAATGGAAGATTACATTTTAAAGAAAAATAACTATTTCCTTAACCTCTCCTCCAAAATATAAACTGATTTATAAAGAGTTCATGAACAACACAACCAGACATGTATTTAATATTAAAGTAATATCAACGCAGCATTTTATTTTCATCTCACAGTTCAAGGCTTGTTTATCCCATGGGAAGTAATGGGGTATGTGGAAGGATATCCTGTTCTTTCCACATTTAAATGCTAGCATGGCCGTTGAGGCACATGTCTAATGAAATTAAGTTCTCATTTTCTGGACAGTTCTAGAATCAGTCGCTGCCACTAAAATGTTAGCTCTCTGTCAACACAAAAGCTGGCAGGTGGGTTAACATACTTTGTGTTTTAAAGATCTTCTTAAAAAGACCCAAGCATCAGGTCACAAATGCATTGCAAAAGAAGAG